GGGAACAGCCTGCTTAGCTTCTCCCGCCTCCCCCTCCTGCAGTAGCTTCAGGCTGAGCAGAGGCCCGGGAGCCAGCACGCCTGGTTCTTATCCAGCAGGCTGCCCTGGTGGTCACTCTCATCACTCTGTGCCTCAGTTTCCTTATCTGTAAAACGGAGATCATCACGGGACCGACTTCACAAGGTCGTTCTGACAAGCGCAAGTCAATTGAGATAGCAGTTGGGACGGGGTCTAACGCGTAGTAAGTTCCCGGTATGTGAAGGTATGATCAATCTTGATATGGTGCTGGTGTTGCCATCATGCAAAGAGGGAGTGCGGTAGCCTCCAGTTAGCTTCTGCTCTGGAGGAGAGAAGCCATAATGGAAGGGTGAGGCTCTGGGGATGGGGCGTTGGCAGGGGACAGGGTGGTTATTAGCAGCGTGCTCTTTACGAGAAGTGGGGCGGAGGCAAGAAGCAATGGCGGGCCACACATGGCGAGACCAGGCCAGTGGGCTCGAGGACTGGGAGAGGCTCCAGGGATGCCAGAGAGTCGAAGGATGCGGGAGTGGAACAGGGGTAACCGTGGATCGTGCGGAGTGGCACAGAGGCGCATGCTCTGGAGCCGGATCGCCTGGGTTCGAGTTCTGTCTCTACCTCAGCAACCCTGGGCAAGGCACCCGACTCAGTTGTCCCCTCAGTAGAGCGGAGAACGTAGTGCCTGCCTCCCAGTGACGGTGGGATGGAAGGAGTTAACGTGTGTGAATTGCTCGGCAGAGCGCATGGGCAACAGTAAGCACCTCGGTCGATGCTAGTGCTCCTTTTACTTGGGAGTCCCTTAAATGCTTAAAGAAAAGAGGTTAAAATTAGAATTCCTGTCTAGACTAATTCGTTTGTGCGCGACAACATTACCCTGAGACTGAATGACTTCGGTCCCAGCTTTATGTGCACGGCCGAATCGATGTCCTTTTCCAACCTCCCCTCAAAAGTGGGGGATAGTAATAGTATTTCTCATTGACTGAGTTCATACATGGAAAGTGCGGGAACTTAATAAACACTCAAAGCTGTTGGTGGTTTCGGTTGTCATTGTTCCTGTCATTCTTTTGCATAGTGACGCGAGGCAGGCTAGAAAAGGAAACTGGTTTTTCAGACGACTTTGTGTGTCCCATCAATGCTGGACCATTATGATGTTCTCTTTTCTTTCCTTTTGGTGCCCTTGTCAGGATGACCCAGTAACAAGGTTACCCTGGCCTCACACCATGAATTGGGAAGTGTTCTCTCTCTCTATTCTCTGGAAGCACTTGTGTAAGATGTGTGTTACTTACTTGTTAAAAGTTTGGGAGAATTACCGTTGAAGCCAGCAAGCCTTAGACGTTTTTTTGCAGGAAGGTTTTTAATAATCGATTCCATTTCTTTAATAGATCCTGAAACGTTCAGCTTTTCTCTCTCTTTTTCTGATGGTTGGAGACGTTGTGTTTTCCGAGGAGCTTTTCTGTTTCTCCTAAGTTATCACATTTATTGATATAAAGTTGTTCATACAATGCATTTATTATCCTTTGGAAACTGTGAGATTAGATCAGCTTATGAGCGTGGGGCCCCGTGATGGGGTTACAGCCTTTGGGAAAAAAAGTGAGCTTTCTGCGTGCACACAGCAAGTATGGACCAGGTGAGGACACAATGAGAAGACACCCATCTGGGAGGAGAGCTGTCTTGCGGGAAAGAAATGCCTGTTGTTTGAGTCACTCGGTCCATGGTATTTGGTTATTTCAGCCCCATGGTACATAAAACAAGATAGACGTGGCCTGTCTTCCTGAGCCAGCAGCAAAATTTGACAGAAAATAATTGTATACTTTAAAAAACAGTTGCATTATGGAACATGGGACCAAACATGGGTTGAAGAACGTCAAGTCGCAGCGGAATGTGATCCAGATTCCTGGGGTGTGGCGGCGGGGGGCAGGGCGTGGTGGTTTGCACGGATGTTCTGCCTAGAAGCTCACAGCAGCGTCCTGGAGCATAGGCACCAGCTCTCGATATCTGATTGCCAAATTGTCACGAATTTGGCCAGCCGGTTGTGAAACATAGATATCGTTTAAAATGGAATTATACGAACTCGTGATTCAATATATTACAACAGAGGTAATAGATACGCAAAGCTCACCACTTCCTGCTTGTTTTACTCTCACCTGTGGTCTTAGGGTTACCTATATCTGCTTTATTTACATTGGTATGTGTGGAGGAAATGCTGCGTAGCGATGCGATATCGCCGGGCTCATTCCAACGCTGTGTTCAGTGATGTCTCTTGATAGCTTGAAATCAACCACGCGGGGGTATTTACACCGTAGAAGTTGACAAACACCCCAAATCAGGGCTTAGCTTTTTGTTTTGTGGCTTGTCTGGATTTAAGAGAGTGATGGAAAGTGGTCAAAGTGCACTTTGTCAAACTTAACAATGTGTTGCGGTCACAGCGGTTACATGGTGAATAGCCCACCCCCGCCCCGGCAAGATGAGGGAATATTCTTCCAGTATTTGAAAACTCTCACTTGATTCAGTAAAGAAGTGACTCGCGTCATTGGTGAATGAGTGAATTCCTGACATACTTCATTGTTCCCCTCTTGTCTTAATTATTAATGTAAATAAAAACGTAAGCTGACGTTCATAGTAGAACCAAATTCATCGGTCAGTGAATGAGTGACTTCTTAGCTGAATTGAATAGTAACCAAGCACTTTTACACACACGCGCGCGCACACACACAGACACACAGAAAGAGCTTTGCAGAGCGCCCATTGTTCAACATTTACCATCATACCTCTGCTCCCGAGAGACTTGGTGAGCAGAGTCTGTGAGGGTCATTTGAGTTTGAGAAGAACCAGCCATAGGGGACCGTTCCATGATTGGCGGGGTCACATTTGCTGGTTAAAGGGCAGTGACTATGCCTCACTCATTTGCCTGGCCTCAACTCCCGGTCCGGTCGTTGAGAAAACAGGATGCGTCTTTGAGGTACGGAAGTGGATTGTGGGTATATCTCACAAGTCTTCCCCGGCTCAGTAAATGACAGCTGCTGAGATCAACAATTGGAATGGCTCCTGGTTCCTCTCTTTGCCTTACACCTCCTAACAGATTGTCCACACAGCTGTCAGGCTCTTCCTTGGAAACAGACCCAGAATTTGACCACTTCTCACAACCTCCACTGGGGGGGGGGGGGGGGGGGCGCAGCGAGACCCTAGTCACTGGTAATTTTTGCTTGGACGATTGCCAAAGACATCAGTCCCTCTGATCCTGCCCTTGCCTCTCTGTTAGATGGATTAACTCATCCTAGTGTCTGCACGTAGCTGATGCCTGGCCTGTGTGGCCGAGGGTATGTTCTGTTCAGCTGGTGCCTGTTGAGATGGAATACAGGTCAATGTCCTGTGGACTCTGAATGAAGTCAACCAAACCCACTGGGAGTGAGAAATAAGGAGCATAAAATGGCACCAGACAGCACCAAATTCAAGAAATAGTCTGTGTTTACCGGAACATGCAAGGTCATTGCCTTGAGAGAACATAAGAAAGCAAGGTCAGGACAGTAAGTCGTTTTATTCAACAGTGACCATGTGAATAATAAGACACTCTTTATGATGGATCTTATGGGATACTGATGCATCAGAAGTGAAGGCATTGTCATTACTGCACTCTTGTTTCTAGAACATTTCCATCACCCCAGAAGGTGCCCTTGTACTCCTTTGCAGCTCTCCTTCCCCCCCCCCCGCCCCCCCACAACACCTCCTGCCTGAGCCCTGACAACTGCTGATCTATTTTGTTCCGGGTCTTTAATATTACATTGTCAACTTGTCATAGGTTCTAATATTCAGCTGGTAACAGTTGGGGGTACTTGGTTAAGAGCGATGACTCTGGGGGCACCTGGGTGGCTCAGTCGGTTGAGCGTCCACCTTTGGCTCAGGTCATGATCTCGCAGTCCGTGAGTTCGAGCCCCGCGTCGGGCTCTGTGCTGACAGCTCGGAGCCTGGAGCCTGCTTCGGATTCTGTGTCTCCCTCTCTCTCTGCCCCTTCCCCGCTCATGTTCCGTGTCTCTCTGTCTCTCAAAAATGAGTAAACGTTAAAAGAAAATTAAAAAAAAAAAAAAAAAAAGAGCGATGACTCTGGAGGCCAACTGCCTTGTTCTGCACAATCATCGCTTTGCTCGTGACCTCCTTGCATCTCTGCTTCCTGACCCATAAAATGGGGATGCTTACTCCTCTGGGATTTTGTGAGGATTAAACAGTTCCTGGTACTTAACAGCCCAATAAATGTCGCTTATTCTTATTACCGTTTGCAGAGTGTGTGTTATGTGTTGGTCATTGTCCTAAGTGTCATGTAATGGATGTGCCAGCGGCCACTGCTGCACTCTCCACATCTCCCCGGCACTCACCAGTCTGCACGTGCCCGTACCCTCTTACTGAACCTGAGATGCTCTGCACGAGTGCGTTCTCTCTCTCCAATGCTGGAGAGTTAATGCTCCCAGGAGCAGCCTTCAACCAGTGACGGCCAGGAGTTGGCAGGTGAAAAGCCAGCTTCCTTGCCTCCCAGGAGGACAGCTCTGAAGCATGAGCTACACTCTCTCCCAGGGTCCCCCATCAGGACTGAGCCCCAACTGCCCACAGGGTTAATCTTCTCATTAATACACTGTCTGTACTGGCTTCCTTCTGTTTCACTTCCCTGTTGCCTTTCCAGAACTCTCTGGGATCCTCTACCAACTAAACTGATGTTCAGTCTTCATGCTCATCTCGGCGTCTACTTCTAAAACGACGGAGTGTTTCGCTTAATCCTCAATAGTCCTGTAAAATGGACAGATGTCACTTCCCCCTTGCACACTTGAGCAAAATGGGGCTCAGGTGATGTTATCTGTTCAAGGCCAAAGCTCTGGGCACTCACGCTCTCCACAGCCTCCCTGAGGAACATGCTCTGATGGGCGCTGCCCCGGGACGTCTTCTCGCCCTGCCGCCTGGGGCTCCGCTGACCCCTCCTGAACCACATCTCCCCCTTGCAGGAAGGCCGCTGCCTGTTTGTCATCCTGCTCATGGCGGTGTACTGGTGCACGGAGGCCCTGCCCCTCTCGGTGACAGCCCTGTTGCCCATCATCCTCTTCCCCTTCTTGGGCATCCTGCCCTCCAACAAGGTCTGCCCCCAGTACTTCCTGGACACCAACTTCCTCTTCCTCAGCGGTCTGATCATGGCCAGCGCCATTGAGGAGTGGAACCTGCACCGGAGAATCGCCCTCAAGGTCCTGATGCTCGTTGGGGTCCAGCCAACCAGGTAAGAGGGACCGCATCCCTTGGAGCCCAAACCCACCCTTCCTGGTCTGGTCCGGTCACCCAGGTCAACAAGCGTATCGTGTCCCACCTGCCATTGACTCATTCAATCCCCGGATGTTTCGCAAGTCAGACACAGTGCTGGGCTCCTGGGTGGCTCTCGGAAGTGCATGAGAATCACCTGGGGAGGCCACTTGAAATGCATACCCCAGGCCCCACCTGGGTCCAGTAGTTTTAGAGAGGGCCATTTTAGCAGTGTGACTCAGGCCACTGGGGGCTGAATCCCACCTTTCCTGCTCTGGGACATGACTTCACTTCTCTCTCTTTGCCTGTAAAGTGAAGGTATAATAGCTTAGACCTGTAAGAGTGCAGTAAATCCTGGCCGATATCATCCTACTTTGCTATTTAATAGCCCAGATGCCAAGGCTGGTGGGGAACGGGGGACAAGATGGCCTTGGAGAGATAGGGTGGCAGGGTCCATTTCTGCAGGGCCTCAGGCTCCCTGGCTAGGATTTGAACTTTTGTTCTAAGAGAAATTAAAACGACCTTTAAATAGGGTTTCAGGGGTGCCTGGGTGGCTCAGTCGGTTAAGCGTCCAGCTTTGGCTCAGATCATGATCTCGCTGTCCATGAGTTCGAGCCCCGCATCGGGCTCTGTGCTGACAGCTCGGAGCCTGGAGCCTGTTTCAGATTCTGTGTCTCCCTCTCTCTCTGCCCCTCCCCCGCTCATGCTCTGTCTCTGTCTCTCTCAAAAATAAATAAACATTAAAAAAATTAATAAAAAAAACCCCACACACATTTATGATAGAGTCCCATGTGCACTCCTTTACAGTAAATGATAAGATCTAGCGACTGACCTAATAACAACTACAATAACTCCCTCTAGTCCCAGTGTCCGTGATAGTCCAAGATGTTCGCGACTATTACGGCATGATATGAAAATATCTGTGATCTTAGTTGGCAACCGAGTCCCAGGCACTTCTGCTCCTATTGAACTTTGTTGCCTTTGTCTATCCCCAAAGGAAATACTTGATTTCTATTAGATATTAATACAATAAAGATGCACCTCCCCCTCATTTCTATCCTGAATTTTATCCACACTGGTCATGAATCTCTGCTTTAAAGAGTTCTAAGGTGGGGAATGACATGACTACATTTGCATGAAAAAAGCCACGCACAATTCCTCTAGGCTGCCGCGTGGAGAGCAGACGAAGAGGGAGACACTGGATGCAGCCTAGTTAGGAGAATGTTCTGGGTGTCCAGACGAGACAGGGTGACGGCTTGGACTGGGGTGATGGCAGTGGAGATGAGCTTTGGAAGCTCTTTGGTTGATAAAGTAGCCGGGGGTAACGGTTAGGGAGAAGAAGGTTCTACGTAACTCCTAGGTTTTTGGTGTCGACTGTGTGTCCAGCACTCTGCCCGACTCTGTAACTGTGTTTCCTCATGTCTGTGGGAGAGAGTCTAGCTGTAGAAGTGATTCCAAGAAGTGATTTCGTTGTCAGAACAACGAAAACAGTGTGACGCTAGTCCAGAAATAGATTTTTACATGCCGTATAACATTCTAGAAGAAATCTCAATCGGTGGAGGAAGGAAAGGATTATTCAGTAAACGGTGAAGGTTGGAATAACGGGCTTATCCTTTGAACAAAAAGAAACTACTTAGATCTTGCTTCGTACTATCCATCTAAACAAATTCCAGGTCGATTAAAGGTTCAATGTAAAGCGAAAAGATCATGGAAGTCGGATTCCTGTGGGTGGGAGGGGCCAAGCAGTGGCAGGCAGGCAGGGGGTCAGGGCCTGTCTGGGTGTGCTGGCGAGTTCAGGGGAGTCTGAGGCGGTGCCTGGTAGGAATGGGAGGGGAACTGGGAGAGGAGGCTGGCAAAGGTGGTTTGAGGGGATACGGTGGATGGTCTTGGGGGCAAACCAAGGCAATTTTATTCTGTAATGGAAGCCATCAAGGACTGGGGGACAAAGGGGAGAAAATTTGGGGGCTCGGTGTCTTTGGACTATTTTGCCTGGAGGACCCACGGCCAGGTGAATCCGTGGCCACGTGGAATCCGTTTCCTTAGACCTGAGATAAGGCTGGCGAATGGATCTGGTCCCCACTCGGTCGCCTGGCTTGTCCCCTCTGGGCCTTGGCTTTCCGTCGGTAAAACGAGTGGCTGGATTCCTCAAGGTGGCAAAGTGGGACCAGAGGACCTCCTGGGCCCCCGTTCTGGATGCGTCTCTAACTCCCTCTGTTCCCAGGCTCATCCTGGGGATGATGGTGACCACCTCCTTCCTGTCCATGTGGCTAAGCAACACCGCCTCCACTGCCATGATGCTGCCCATCGCCAGCGCCGTCCTGAAAAGTCTCTTTGGCCAGGAGACTCGGAAGGACCTCGGCCAGCAGAGCGAAGAGAACGCAGGTGAGGCCGTGGAAAGGCACCGGGGCAGCCCCCCGACCCAGCACGCAAGAGTGGGAGCAGGGTGTCCAAAAGTTGCAGGGGAAGGTGAAGCAAACGCACTTGCTGAGCATATATTATGCGCCGAGTGTTTACATAACAATAGTAACTGACAATTGGCGAAGCCAAACCTTGACACCTTTCTTTCTTTAATTGCATTCACTGAGTGCTTACTGTGTACCGAGTGACGAGTTCAACACTTTGCCTACACTGTCTCTTTTACCTCTCAAAACAACCTTATGAAGTAGGTACTATACTTACGCCTGGCTTCAGAGCATTTGAAGAGACGCTCAGCACCGCTAATCCCCAGAGAAATGCAATGTGCACAGACCCTGTAACCCGGCGGTTTTGCTCCTGGATGCACACGCCAGAGGAGTTCTGATGCAGGTCCACGAGGGGACAGTTGGGACGGCGCTCACTGCCTCGTACTCTGTGGTGGGGTGACTTGGTAGCCACGTGAACGCAATCACCAATAAAGGGGAAGGTGAAGTGCGTGCTGTTGGGCCCCATGCTGCTTTTAGGAGCAAAGAATTCGTTCTAGAAACGGATCTCACAGAACACAGTTGGGATTGAAAGAAGCCAGAATGAGAGACAGGAGACAATGCCATTATGTAAATTAAAACCTCACGCAAGGGGCCACTTTGCAAGAACATAAGTGGATGAGAGACTACAGATTAAACACATCAGCACGGTTGCTCTGGGAAGGATGGGAGTAGGAAATGGGAACCAAAGGGACTAAATAAAGAAGTAAATAGGGACGCCTGGGTGGCTCCGTCGGTTAAGCATCCGACTTCGGCTCACGTCATGCTCTCACAGTTCGTGAGTTCGAGCCCCGTGTCGGGCTCTGTGCTGACAGCTCAGAGCCTGGAGCCCGCTTCCGATTCTGGTCTCTCTCTCTCTCTCTCTCTCTCTCTCTGCCCCTCCTCTGCTTGTGCTTGCTCTCTCTCTCTCTCTGTCTCAGAAATAAACATTAAAAAAAGAAAAAAACGAATGAAAAGAACAAAAGAAATAAAACGAAAGAACGGCCTTGTACAATAAGCAGTGAGAGTGGGATGTGATTCACTCGAATGCTGGAAACTGTGTTCTTAAGAAAATGCAAGTAGCTGCTGCATTCTTAGATGGCTAACCAAGGGCTCAGAGAGGGGAAGTGACTTCCCCAGGACACAGCAGATGAATGGCCGAGCCCAGCCTTGCACCCCGGCAGTCCGGTTCCAGAATGTGCTATCTTACCCATGGGACCGGCTGCATCTGTGAGAATGCAGGTAAATGTCTACTTGCAAGTGGCTTGAAAAATAACGGTGTGTTTTCCTCAAATATCAAGAAGTCAGATGGAGTGCCTGGGTGGCTCAGTCAAGATGATTTTGGCTCAGGTCATGATCCCAGGGTCGTGGGGTCAGGCTCCCTGCTCAGAGTGGAGTCTGCTTGGGATTCTCTCTCTCTCTCTCTCTCTCTCTCTCTCTCCCTCTGCCCTTCTCCCCCACTCACTCTTTCTCTCTTTCTCTAAAATAAAGAAAGAAGTCAGAGAGAGGCAAAGACAGGATTGATTGATTGATTCAGAGACACAAAGATGCCAGCACTTTTCACTGGCATCTCTGTGATTCCTTCTGTCTGCTTTAAAATGTCTTCCTTTTGGGGGCGCCTGGGTGGCTCAGTCGGTTAAGCGGCGGACTTCGGCTCAGGTCATGATCTCTCGGTCCGTGAGTTCGAGCCCCGCGTCGGGCTCTGTGCTGACGGCTCGGAGCCTGGAGCCTGTTTCACATTCTGTGCCTCCTTCTCTCTCTGACCCTCCCCTGTTCATGCACTGTCTCTCCCTGTCCCAAAAATAAATAAAACGTTAAAAAAAAATTTTTTTTAAATAAAAAATAAATAAAATGTCTTCCTTTTTATTTACATAAATGCAGTTTAAAAGGAAGCTTTAAACCAGTTCATGTGTGGACAGAAATCTCTAGTTCATCCCCAATATTGAGTCTGTCTTTGCTCTGTTAGTGATAGAACCCCCCCACATGGGCACGTGGCTTTGGAGAGAAAAAGCTCAATTTCCTGGCTGCCCTTGCAATGAGGCGTGGTCACGTGACAAAGTTTGACCAATGGTATGCGAGCAGGATGGTGCCTGCAGCTCCCGGGTCCTGCCCTTCCTGCCCTCCACTCCTACTGGCTGGAATAGGACCTGACCGAGAGATGGGGTGGGAAGTGCCACCTGGGAAGCCACATGTTGAGTGACAGATGGGGGAGCTTGGGATCATTTTTCCCGGATAACACAACCAACGCCGTTCGTGAACCCCTGGGCTCTGAGTGCTAGTTGTATATTTTTGAATACGTGTTAAAATTAATATATGTGTCAATCATCTAAACAGTGATCCGTGTACCATCTAAGTTCATCTTGTTTACTGTGGTATGAGTCTCTGCCTATGATGCAGTGAGGGGTTTTGTTTATTTTATTTCCACATCGGCCCTGCGAGCTAGGAACGATGAGAACTACCTTCCAGGTGAGGTTCAGAGAGGTGAGGTGACAGGTCCAGAATCAATCACACTGTTGGTACAGCAGCAGAGCCGGGATCTCTGCAAGGAAGAGATGTTCTACAACAAGAGTCAGAAAACTTATTGTGGGGGCGCCTCGGTGGCTCAGTGGGTTGGGTCCGACCTCTGCTCACAGTCCGTGAGTTCGAGCCCCGCGTCGGGCTCTGTGCTGACAGCTCGGAGCCTGGAGCCCACTGCAGATTCTGTGTCTCCCTCTCTCTCTCTCTCTCTGTCTCTCTCTCTCTCTGCCCCTCCCCTGCTTGCACTCTGTCTCTCTCTCTCTGTCTCAAAAATAAATAAAAAAAATTTTTTAAATGTTTTAAATACATTTTTAGAAAAAGAAAACTTACTCTGTGAGCGTCCAGATAGTAAATATTTCAGGCTTTGCTGGCCACACCATCACTACTGCTCAAACTCTGTCCTTGCAGAGAGAAAGCCTCCACAGGCAATATGTAAATAAGCGGGTGTGGCTGGGTTCCACTGAGATTTTATTTATGGTTGCCGAAATTACAATTTTGTGTAATTTTTACATCACGAAGTATTACGCTTCTGCTGACTTTCTCCAGCCGCTTAAAAACGTAAACACCAATCTCCAGACGCCTGGGTGGCTCAGTCAGTTAAGCGTCTGGCTTCAGCTCAGGTCATGATCTCACGGTCCGTGGGTTCGAGCCCCGTGTCGGGCTCTGTGCCGACAGCTCAGAGCCTGGAGCCTGCTTTGGATTCTGTCTCCCTCTCTCTCTCTCTCTCTCTCTCTCCCCCTCTCTGCCCCTCCCCTGTGCACGCTCTATCTCTCTCAGTCTCTCAAAAATAAGTTAACGTTAAAAAAAATTTTTTTTTTTTTAATGTAAAAACCATTCTCAATTGCCCGGCAGCGGGCCAGAGTCAACCCACCGGCCATAGTCTGCTCACTTCCACGGCTTCATCGGTTTTCGGACTGTTTCCCTTGGGCGTTGGGCTTCAAGAGAACTGCCTCACTCCGACTTCTACCCCACTTCCTCTGTTTTATACGCTGGGCTTCCGAGGAACGATCACAGATGTTTCCTGAGCACTTACTTCAGGCCGGGGTTCTTGGGGGCCTTACATCTGAATGACGTAGAACCAGCATTGACTCCATTTAGCAGATTGGCAACCGAGGAAGCAATTTAAGAAAAGAGGCTAGTAGAGTAGCCTCCAAGGTCACACAGCTGCACAACAGGGGCTCTGGTATTTTGAATCTTGGCTGGCTGACTTCAGAGCTTGGACTCTTAACCTCTGCTAGTCTGTCTTGTACACAAGATTTTTTTTTTTTTTTCCCTAGAGTTTGGTGGCCAGGAAAAAAAAAAAAAAGAGAGAGCCATTTCCTTCGTTATAAAGATGGAAAAATCTGAGATCCAGGAAGGGGAAAGGACTTGCCTACAGTCACACACAGTGTTGGGTGCAAGGCGAAATCCAGAATCTTCTCCCATATGCTGTAGGATGTCAGGAGGTAGGAGACCCTGGGAAGCAGGGGCAGATAACTACTTTCACAAGTGGTAGGATCAGAGAGCAGGACTGATTAATGATCAGCCCTGAGTCCTAAAGGAAGGCTAATTCCAGTGCAAAAAGAGATGTTCCCTTCCACCCAGTCTCTGTGGCCTGGTGGCAGGCCATGAGTGAGGACAGCGGAGGAGGGAGTGGAGACTGTTAGTGGGCCAGGACGGGGGGGGGGGGGGGCCGCAGGCTCCTGGGGGACCTAGGTCCATGAGGGACACCCAGAGCAACCACAGAGATGATAATAGGAGCTCTCATTTCTTGAAGACCCACCAGCCAGACGTGGTGCTTAATTTTTCATACTCGTTAGCTCATTTTATAACAGTACCAAGAGGTAGGTGAGCCCCATTTTACAGAGGAGGACACTGGGGTTCAGGGAGGCAAAATGATTTGCCCAAAGCAACGTGGTTAGTTAGTTGCTGAGCTCTGTCTGAATCTAGAATCTACGATTGTAAAAGACGAGGCTGGCTTACCATCCTTCAAGATAACGTCATTCAAAAAGCAATGTTTTAGGCTAGGTTAAGCCCTGCCCTCCTCCTTCACTCCTCATTCACGAGGTCAGAAGCGGGGGGGGGGGGGGGGCCCTTCCGAGGCCCTTTTCTCATCTGTGAAATGAGGACACCTCCCATTTCGTACATATCGTTGGGAAGCTGGCATGAGATCCGAGAGCCTGGCACACAGGATGTGGTTGATACATGGCGGTTGTATAAAAATCACTAAGATTTCCAGGAATAGGGGAGGAACGGGTGATACGACCCTACCCCTTGGTGCACCTTTAAGTTTCCTTGAACCTCTAGCGGAGAGGGATTTGTTTGTTACCCGTCTCCTCCACGGACCCCGAGCCCCATGGCGGCTTGCGTCAGTCTTTCCCATTGCCGTGAACAACCTACACGGGTAGAGTGTTGTTCACCCAGAACGCTGTTTGGCACGTAGTAGGGCTTCAATAATTGTGTGGCGTTAATGGATAAATGAATGAATGGATCAGTTACATCACTGTTCTTTTTAAGTTTTTATTTACTTATTTTGAGAGAGAGAGAGAGAGAGAGAGAGAGAGGGTGCAGGGGAGGGGCAGAGAGAGAGGCGGAGAGAGAGAACCCCAAGCAGGCTCTACACCGTCAGCGCAGAGCCTAGCATGGGACTCGATCCCACAAACCGTGAGATCATGACCTGAGCTGAAATCAAGAGTCGGACGCTTAAGCGACTGAGCCACCCGGGTGCCCCAGTCACATCACTGTTCCAAACCTCAGTGGGTTTGGAACCTCCTCCATAAAATGGGGTATGAATACTTATTACCCAGACTGTTGCAAGTGTTAAATGAATTAATGCATGTCAACCTGCCCAAGCTTGGGGAGCTTTGATACAAGATACCGAATTTGATACGAGAACTCTTTCCCGAATATCCCAGGCTTCAAGAACATGCTATCCACACACAGTTGGCTGTGCCGGGTGAGACCTGCTAAGAGCCAGGTGGGCGCTGTTGGAGATGGAGCGAGATTCAAGAGGTGGGGGATCAGCGGTCCTGGGAACAAGCCTGACTCTGCCACTGACCCACTGGGTCATCATGATCCAGGCTGTAAGCCGCCTCTCCGGGCCTCAGTTTCCCCAGATGAAAGGAGGACGGGAGAAACGGCCTAGCTCTCCCAGGCTCTTCTGAGGCTGCTGCAAGATTGCAAATGGGAAAGTTCTTTGGGTCCCTCAGGGATTGGTGTTATTTTGGCAAGACCTCACATGAGCTCCAAGCTCCTAACCGGCCAGCCATTTTGGAGACTTGGCCCCCACTGGCCGATTTGCGCACGGTCACCCGGATCACTGTGGTCACAGGAGGCACGGGGGTGCACCCTGGGTAAATAGTTAAGAACATTCAGCATCTTGGTTTTTCGTGGTGTGTGTGTGTGTGTGTGTGTGTGTGTTTCAACTGCATCCTCGTGGGCTTTATTATCATCACGCTTATGAGGAAAATGATGCTCGGCATATAAGTTTTTCATCTTGCTGACTTGTATAAAGAGGTAAAACTCCTTCCTTATCTCGTGCGCTATACTGATGATTGCTGTTTACTGTTGTACCTGCACAGCTTTCTTTCTCTGCCTTGCCAGTAGCAGGTACGGTCTCATATTGGGGCCCCCCAGCTCCGTTGCTGGTGGCCGCCAGCTTCCGTAGATGAGTGACAGGGGCCAGGTGGGGACTGTAGCAGACTGCCTGCGAGCACAGGCCCCTCGGAGGGTGTGGGCAGCCTCTGGAGGCCACAGTCTCCCCCACCTATAACTTGGGGTGAGTGTTTTCAATGCTGGCCACACAAAAGAATCAACTGCTGAGCTTTTAAAAAATACCGAAGCCCAGGTTCCTCTCCCAAGCTGCTAAACCAGAGCTTCTAGGGTGGGGCCTGGACACTTTTGGGAAATTCTGCCATTCCTCAAGGGTGCCCAGAGCTGCCTTGGGTTGTGCCTGAGACGTTAGCGAGCTCTGCTGAGGTCTAGATGCCGTGGGACAGCTGTGGTCCCAACCCAGGTAGGAAGTGAAGGGTACAGAGGAAGGTAGAGGTGAGTCGGGGCTGGGGGGTTGCTGGGTCCGAGTTCTTCATGTCTGGCCTTGCCCTGGGGAGCGACTTTGCCCACGATCGTAGGTGTCCTATTAACGGCCCTGACTTCCTGCTTCAATGCCCTGGCCTCTGGCCCCGCTCATTGGATGTGGCGGTGTGCTCCATCATAGGAGCCTTGGAACCCACATCCCCGTGGCCCAGGGTGAGCCGATCTGCATTCAGCCTTTGGACCTCTGCTGGCGATCAGCAGGCCCAGCCTTGGTAAAATGACAGTCAGCTCCCACAGATCCCAATCCCTGTAAATACCAACAGGGAAGAAACAGCCCAGCGCGGAGAGGGGAAGGGACTTCTTCCCCAAGCCACATAGTGAAACAGGGAAAGAGCTGGGGCTGGAGTCCAGACCCTTCCTCCCAAACACACATCTGCAGTTAAACAGCTGGAGTTTATTCTGGTTGCCCCAGTGAGAGAGAGCACAAGCCACCAGCAGCCGTGATGGCCTCCGTCAGACGCGTTACAAAAGACCTCTCGTGGGCTGTGGGCTTTGGCTGAGGCATTTGTGGGCGTCTAAGGAACCTTGCTCTAGATTGAATGACATCAGGAGTCGGGGGCAATTCTACAGGTAAAGAAGTAGCAGCCATTCATTCGGCAAGAGAGGGTGTGCTTGGCATTTTGTGGCGGCAGGTGGCTTTGTGCTGTGACGAGATTATGCAGTGTCCTTGCTCTGTCTCACTTCATCAAGTCTCAGAGAGTGACTCTGTCTGATGTTGGCAAAGTGTAAGATGATTTAGGTCCAACAAGAGAACACATGGCAAATCTGGGCCAGACCAGTTCTGGACGTCAGGGGCCGCTTTCTTATTCTTTCTCAAGAGTAACCCACATTTACTAAATCCTTGCTAGGGCTCAGATTCCTGTTAAATCCTTTCAGTTGGGATCTGGTCAACTTTGGCTCACTACATCTAGCCCACCTCCTGGTTTTTGTTTTTTTGTGTGTGTGTGTGTGTGCAACCTATGAACCGAGCATAGTTTTTATATGTTTAAATGGTTGAATAAATCAAAAGAATATTTTGTGACATGTGACAATCGTATGAACTTCAGATTTCAGCATCCAAAACTAAAGGTTTAGCCACACATATTCATTTATGTATTGTCTGTGGCCATTTCATGGCAGAGTTGAGTACGACAGAGACGTATGGGCCCCCCAAAACTAAGATATTTACTGTCTGGTCCTTTACAGAAGAAATGTGCCAAGCCCTGCTTTATTTGTTTATTTTTGTGTCTATTTATTTTTGAGAGAGAGAGAGAAACAGGGTATGAGCAGGGGAGGGGCAGAGAGAGAGAGAGAGGGAGACACAGAATCTGAAGCAGGCTCCAGGCCCCAAGCTGTCAACACAGAGCCCATTGTGGGGCTCGAACCCACGAGCCATGAGATCATGACCTGAGCTGAAAGCAAACGCTTAACTGAGCCACCCAGGCGCCCCACCAATCCCTGCTTTAAATGGTGTCTTAGTCCATTCAGTCTGCTCAAACAAAAATACCGTGGATTGGGTGTTTATTTCTCATAGCTCTGGAAGCTGGGAAGTCCAAGATCAAGGTGCCAGCAAATTTGTTGTCTGGTGAGAGACTATTTTTTGATTCGTAGACGGCCGTCTTCTCTGTGTCTACACACGATGGAAGAGGCAAGGGAACTCTATGGGGCATCTGTTACAAGGGCACTAATCCCATTCGTGAGGATTCTGTGCTTGTTACGTAATCACCTCCTAAGGGCCCCACCTCCTAGTACCATCTCAGCGGGGGTCAGGTTTCAACATATGAGGCTGGGGGAGATGCAGACATTCAGTCTATAGCAAATGGGTCAGCTCCTTAATCCTCTTGACAACTCTAGAATTATTACTTCCATTTTATGAATTAAAGAACTGAGGTACAGCGAGACTAAGAGATTTTTCCAAACCCAGGTTTCTCAACTTCAGCACCGTGACGTTTTGGGTGGGATGATTCTTTGCGGGGGGGGGGGGGGGGCTGGTGCATAGGAGGACGTTTAGCAACGTTCCTGGCCTCCACCCACTAAATGCCAGTAACACCCCCACACCCCCACTCCCACTCCCAGTTACGACAGCCAAAAATGTCTCCAGACGTTGCCCAGTGTCTCTCGGAGGCAGAATCGGCCCCAGTTGGGAACCACTGCTGTAAGCTTGCATCGTAAGTGATGGATCCGTGATCTGAACCCAGAACCTGTGTGTTCGGCTCTCCATCACACCCTCAATGCCCAGGGATAGGTTCTCTTGTTCTTGGTGATGGTTTCAGCTACAAAAAATCTTAATCCCTGCAAAGTTCTTGTCTCCAAAACACTATTGAAGGCTTCCAGGGAGACTGACCTATTAGGCAAGGGGTATCTTTAAAAGGAAGTCAGATCCTGTCCCGACTCCCCTTTGCTCAAACACTCCCTTGGCTCTGCTCACATCTGACTCGGCGTAAACGCCGAAGTCCTTACTGTGAGCCCCAAGACCTCTGCGTGACCCAGCCCACCTCCTGCCCCCGCTCGCTCACCCCCGCTCCTTCCCTCACCTCACCTCCTGCCACCCTATCCTTTACTTAGGCCCCTCCAGCCCCAGCCCCACTGCTCTCCCTTCTTCTCAACACACCAGATACATTCTCACCTCAGGGCCTTTGCACTTGCTGCTACTGTTGCCTAGAATCCTCTTCCCACGGCTCTTCCTATGACTGGCTCCTTTTTTCTTTTTTCCTCTTGGCTCCTTTTATCCTTGAGGTCTCAAATCAGCTGCCATCAGCTCATGGTGTCTTCTCAGTTGACTTGGTCACAGCCGCCCACCTGCTCCCCTCCCGACTCGGCAATCACTCTCCATCACACCACCCACTTTCTCCTACATCCCTACCTGAGATGTTCTTTCTTCATTGCTTGTCTGTCTCCCCTTCTGGAATATAACCTTCCTGGGAGCTGGGAGCTTGTTCTACATTATTCACCGTGTACTGCAAGCTCATAGCCAATAGCACATAGTAGGTGCTCAACAAATACTGAATGAATGCATGCATGTATGGGAGAGCAGGGTGACTGACCCATTACTTAGAGCTAGTCTTTCGTAAACATCCCATTGCCAATGGCAGCTCAGGGGAGTCCGGAGCTGAGTTGGACTTGCAGCGTAACCCCCGTCCACAGGCCCCAGGACCATCTCCGAATAGGAATAGGGGGGACGGAAGGATAGAATCTCAGGTGCCTTTTTGAAAAGTTCAATTAACGGTATAGGAGGGGAACCCGAAGAAGCCCTTTCCGCTGACGACGTAAGAATAGGAACACTCCTATCCACTCACCACATTCCACTAAAGACGTCCTGTTCTTCCCTCCCAGCTGCTGTGCGGAGAAACGGGCTGCACGCGGTGCCCACGGAGGTGCAGTTTCTTGCTGGCACGGAAGAGTGAGTTCCCGGTGCACTCGATAGAGGACCCAGTGCTTGATCCGAGGAGATGATGACCAAGAATTCAGTGCTGCAAGCAATCCTCCCCCAGCCCCCACTTTCTCCAAATGACCTAGTGCCCAAGTTTCTACCATTCATCCCTTTGGCTTAGGCCAAAACAAACAAACAAACAAACACCAGTGCAATTGTGGACGGCAAGGGCAGGGGAGCACATGAGGTCCCTAGAGGTCTGGTGCGGTGGCGCATCTGATAGGAGGGGCCAGCCGAGCGGGAGCACGCGGCTACGAGACGGTCAAGGAGGAGAAGCACGCAGACAGGGGTCAAGAGGCTCTAAAGGCAAAAGTATCCTAAGAGACGATCACAGTCCTCACAGCTGTGTGACTGAGGAAGCCTCTCCGCCTCGATGGCACGTTTAGTGTCCGATGTCCTTTGTATTTGGCAGTGTGCTTAAGAGCTTGGGGTTTGGGAGCCCGGCAGACCTGACTCTGGATCTGGTTCTGCGGCTCGCCGGCCGTGTGATTGGGACAAGTCAGTCAGGTTGGTTTCATCCACCAACTGGGCGTGACATTGGTACCCACCTGAGAGGGCTGTTTTGAGATGAAATCAGCTAACGTCGATCAAGTAGGTCGCCAGGCCCTACGGGCACAGGTAGCGCTTGTTGTTAATGGCATTGTTCCCTTGGTTTGTTGGCGATGAAACGTCAGGAAGTAAAGTCGCCTGCTCAAGGCATTGCTTGGCACCAGTCAGGTCTGTTGTATGCATCCAACAAATATTTATAGACAGCTGAACAACACCAGGCACCGCCGGAGATGCAGCAACAGGCAAAAATCCAGCCCTTGTGGGGTTTACATACCAGGGACAAGACACGAACATATGAGTGGAATTCATAGTATGTCAGATGGTTGGTGAGAGCTACGCAGGGGAACAAAGCAGGAGAGAAGGCCGGGGGGAGGGTGGCCTGCGGGATGTGAAAAGGCAGCTTTAAAACAGGTGGTCAGAAGGTGACACTTAAGCAAACACCTGTAGGAGGTGAGGGTCATGGGGGCCCCATGGGAAGAGCGGTCTCAGCGGAGGGGCCGGCAGGTGCAAAGGTCCTGAGAGTCCAAAGCGGCCAGGAAGCCAGTATGGCTGGTGGAGTGGATGGCAGCAGTTGGGGTCCGAGAGATCACTTGTGTGGTGGTGGAGAGGCAGACCGTGAGGGACCTCCTAGGCTAATGATGTAGCCTTGACTTTGAACGAGAGGGGAGCCAACGGAGGCTTTTGGCAGAGGAGAGACATGATCTCATGTCTGATTGTCTTATTCTGTGGCCTCCACTCCTTCCTGGCACCATATCCGGGGGCTTTGAGTCCAGCTTTGAGATGTGGTTTCTGTGAGTGGCCCGGCCACTCACTAATACATGCAACCTAGGAATCTGTGTGGGCCATCTGCCCATGCAGAGCTTGTGCTGAATCTATGGGAAAAGACTCAGTCCTCATTCTTCTAGAACTCTGTGTCCACTGAATGAACACCCCATCCATTGGATGGGGGCTCCATATCCATTGGAGTGGAAGTCCCCTCTCCGGGCCTTAGTTTCCCCAACTGAACAAAGAAGTGCTTGCACGAGGTGAACCCTAAGGCCCCTTCTCTCATTCTCATCGTGAGGCTGAGTCTGGTCCCCTAGGCCTGGGGACCCACAGTGCCTGCCAGGACTTTCACCCTGAGAAGTCAGGCCATGACATCAGTCTCCAGCCGCCTCTTGTCTTCCCTTCCTTTTAGACCCCAAATCACATTCCAGTTGCCTTCCAGATAAGGGGCTTCTCATTAGCAATTAAGGCCAGAAGATATTTGAAGTATCTTTGATTCCTTAAAAAAAAAAAAAAATTGATCTGTTATAGAGGGACAATTGTTAATGTCATTCATTTAGAAAAATTTTATAATTGCACAATGAAGAAGAATACTCTTTTTTTTAATGTTTATTTATTTTGGGGAGACAGAGAGAGACAGTGTGAGCAGGGGAGGGGCAGAGAGAGAGGGAGACACAGAATCCAAAGCAGGCTTCAGGCTCCGAGCTGTCAGCACAGAGCCTGACGTGGGGCTCAAACTCATAAGCCGTGAGATCATGACCTGAGCCGAAGTCAGATGCTTAACCAACTGAGCCACCGAGGCACCCTGAAAGAGAATACTCGTAGACAAAAAGAAAAGATGTACCCAGCATCTCGGTCCCAAAGACAGATTAAAACAGTTAAGGGAATACTATTCTAGACTATTTCTGGATGCCTCTCTATGTACCTAAATGCATTTTTAAAATAAAAACGTTGATAATGCTGTATATGCTCTTATGTAACCTGCTGTCTCACTTAATGGAACGTGGTCAGCATCTTTTCACCTCAATAAATTGATGGCAACGCCATTATCTTTTAATTATATAATTAACAGTTCTTGAATTCATTCTTTCCCAATCCTCTTAACTGCACCAGAAAAACAACCCAGAAAATATAAAGAATAAAGGGGGGAAAAAATTCCATAATTTCATGCCCAAGAAAGGCACCTGAAAAATAACTTTGTGTATACCATTCTAAATTTTTCTTAATACTCACGTATTCATCAAATATATGAATATTTTTAAAATAAATTAAGCAGTTACGTACCCTTTTTCACTTTATACGATGGACATATTTTATCCTAATAAACATCCGTCTAGATCATGTGGGGGGTTTTTTGTTTTCGTTTTTGAGAGAAAGAGAGAGCACTAGCAGGGGAGAGGGGCAGAGGCGGAGAGGGAGAATCTCGAGCGGGCTCCACAGTGACGTGGGGCTCGATCTCACGACCCTGGGATCATGACCTGAGCCGAAATCAAGAGTCGGACGCTCGACCGACTGAGCCACCCAGGTGCCCCTAGCTCATCATTTTTCATAGCTGCGTTGGTGTTCCATCCAGAAAGAGGATCATTTTGATCTATCGAATCCCCTTTGGATGGAGATTAGGGTTGTTTGTAATGTAAACTATATTTAGTGCCGTGGTGAACTCATACCCACGCCCGAGGCACCTGCCCAATTATTTCTTTGGGATTGATTCTGAAAGTAGAACGTTTGAGCTGAAGGGTTGCACGTCTTTAGAGGTTTCCATGCCTGTGCCAAGCTGCCTTCTAGAAAGACCACTTAGTTCTCCCAACCCAAGTGATGCTTCCCCCCCCCCCCCAGAAGGCCAGAAATTCTGAAACGTGTTCTGAATGGCTTCTCTTTGGGTTTGTTTAAAGCAAAGACTGCCCTGAGGCGGAGGCTCCCTTGGACTGCAAGAAGGAGGGGGAATACCACAGGAACATCTGGAAGGGTTTCCTTATCTCCATTCCCTACTCAGCCAGCATTGGGGGCACTGCCACCCTCACGGGCACGGCCCCCAACCTCATCCTGCTTGGCCAGCTCAAAAGGTAAAGGCAGGTGCTCCACGGGGCACGGGGGTCTCTGCTCCTCCCACCCCTCCTCCTCTCCTTCACTCAACATTCGGGGAAATATGTACCGAATGCCTTCTATGGGCCAGGCTCTGGGGACCCAGCAGTGCACAAGCCCAGAGAAGGCCCCGCGCTGGGGAACTTCCATTTTGGTGGTGGAGACAAGCAATAAAGGAAAAGGCAGCTGGATACATATGCAACGATGTGATAAGTTATGGCATCAAATAAAGCGGGAGAAGGGTGCGGAAGGGACAGGAGTGGGTGCTATTTTACAGAGGCTGGTCAGGGATGTGCTGCCTCTGTTGCAAGGTGACATCTGGGACCTAGAAGTTATGTGAGCACAGGAAGGAGGAACATTCCAGACAGGGATAACCGGCGTGGTCAAAGGTGAAAGGCACAAAGACCAGGAGCGCAGAAGGCAGAGGGGAGGGAGTGTGGGGGGACAGAAGGTGAGTTGTTAGGACCCCAGCTTTTGCTGCCAGTGAGATGGGGAGCCCAGTGCAAAGTTGAGAGCGAAGGAACGACATGATGTGACATCGGCTTTGAAAAACCAACCCCGGGGCACCTGGGTGGCTCAGTCAGTTGGGCGTCCGACTTCGGCTCAGGTTATGATCTCACGGCTGGTGGGTTCGAGCCCCACGTCGGGCTCTGTGCTGACAGCTCAGAGGCTGGAGCCTGCTTCCGATTCTGTGTCTCCCTCTCCCTGCCCCTCCCCTGCTCATGCTCCGTCTCTCTCTGTCTCAAAAATAAGTAAAAACATTAAAAAAATTTTTTTTGTTTAAAAACCAACCCCACTGGGGGCGTTGGGCTGTGGCCATGGCTGTGGCCGTAAGGTCCCAGGAGAAGCTCTGCAACCAGGCCCCCGGGCCAGCAGTGGAGCGAGCCCTGCCAGGAGCTAGTCTCCCCATTGCCGGAGCTGTTCCAAGAGTGGCTGGGTGGCCGTCTGTCGGGGCAGGAGAATAAAAGAGAAGGGTTCTCAGATGGCATATGACTTGTCAGCTCCATGATCCCAAGCCCCTGGGTTTGAAGATGTAAGCAACCCCAGGTATTGCCAGATTCCGTTCCTACGATGTTCAGATTCCAGGATCTGAGAGGCGAGGATTCTAAGATCCCTCCGCAAAGGGAGGGAACCTCAGACGTTCATTAGTCCACGTGAAAGCATTTGGCAAACACACACAACAGACGTATTTAATATTCAAATGGCCCCAAATGCGGGCCAGCTCCCTTACCCGGTACTCAGTCCAAGAATCATGGACCTCCTGAGATGATGGGGGAAAGCCGGCTGTGATGGTCTTCCAGAGAGGAGGTTTGCTATCACTTCCCATCAAAGTGGTTTTCGTGGGAAATTCCGAGCACACCCGTCTTTTAACCCCCGAAGCCAATTTTCTTTCATTTGGAGAGAGACCGAGAGAGTGCGAGTGGGGGAGGGGCAGAGAGAGAGGGAGAGAGAGAACCCCAGGCAGGCTCCACGCGGTCAGCAAGGAGCCCAACACGGGGCTCGAACCCACGACACCGCGAGGGCACGACCTGAGCCGAAACCAAGAGTCAGGCGCTTAACCGACTGAGCCGCCTACGGGCCCCCCGGAGCCGATTTGAAAACCTTAACTTTCCACTATATTCTCAGGTCCTGAAACCTTTTGATTTTAAAAGCTGGTGATAGAAACCGGTGATTCTCAGCCATGGGTGCATATCAGAGTCACCCTCCCGGGGTGCCTGGGTCTCCGTTGCAGAGATTCGGATTCAGGAGGTGTGGGGTGAGGGTAGGGCTCAGCACTTTCCCAACTGACTCAGCCCGCTGCACGACTTGGGGTTGTCTTTTCATCTTTGAGCAGGCCTGGCCATGCCTCGTGGGTTTTGGTCTGTGGCTTTGTCTGTTTTGTTTTGTTTTTAAGGACTGCAAAACGGAAAGCCAAGATGGTCCTGCTTGCCACGTGGGGACAAGCTGAGTTGGGCCCTTTAGCGCCCTCAGTTAGAAGGAAGCACCAGCAAAAGGGCGTACAGGCTGGGAGGACAAAGCTGGAGCGCATCCCTGGGCTGGGCAGGAAAGATGTGGGCTCTGGGGCCTTCCGGGGCAGATGCTGAGTTGCAGGGTAGGGGGGAGCGGGGCAGGTGGGGGCCGTTGCTGTCAGAGGGTTTTCAGGCTGCCTGCCCACCCTGATAGGAGCAGGACTTTGTTCCAACTTGAAAAGAAATTAAGGGGAAAAATGCTGGAGGCAGAAGTAAAAATATCAAATGTGAAGGATTTGGGGTAAATTACTTGTAAATCACATGCAAATCATACACAGCGTTTGACTGCATAAGCTTGGACCTTCTGGTCTGGCGGGAGAGGATTTAAAACGAATGCCAAATCATGCGGGGCTCTGATCCTCTAGCCAGGAGCGTGGGGAGGCGGGGGAATGGTTGCCCTGAGTGTCGCCCTTGGCCTTCGCTCCCCAAGTGCATTTTATTACTTCACTCTGATTATATAGGTACGTTGCAGGACACTCAGGAAATGTAGGGGGAGAAAACTGAAATACGTTCAACCGCACTGGTAACATTAAACGCACTGTTGTTGATTATGTATAAACGCCCATGCTCGCGCTGAGAAATCGCTGCGTGTGTATACGCCGTGTGCATCCGCGAGGCTGACCTTGGCCGGCTCTCATCTCCCCTGTTTCTCCAGTTTCTTCCCACAGTGCGATGTGGTGAATTTTGGCTCCTGGTTCATTTTTGCCTTCCCTCTCATGCTGCTGTTCCTGCTGGCGGGCTGGCTGTGGATCTCCTTCCTGTATGGGGGAATGACCCTGAGGTACCCTCATGCCTACCGTGAGCTTTGAGCCTGACGGGGGTCCCCGCTTCCTTCTCGTCGGGTAGACAGCGGTCTTCTCGAGTCTGGTTTCCTCCGGTGTTAACGAAGGATCGTCACTAATCTCACGTCACCTTCTCCCAGGGTGACTGTCGCAGAGCCCTCACCTCCCGGGGATATGAGGATTATGGGTAGTGTGAGCTGCCTGCTAGGCCCAGGCCCTCAGTTAATGGCCCCCATCGTCGGCAATTACGGTTGGCGTCCTCCTTTAAGTACTCCCATTTTATGGGGCCCTGGTGCAGGAGCTGATTTGGGGTGGCACAGGGCATTAACTAACATCGACTCATATAGTGCCAAAAAGAATCCCTTTGCCAACTCCCATAGAGGGAAGCAAGCGTCTCTTGGGTGATGAGGCCACCATCCTACCTACCTAACATTTCCAAACCAGCTTTTTAAACAAAGAACGAGTTGTCAGTTCCAGAGACGTAAGCCAGCAATGGTATCTGGCAGAATGTAATGATTGCCCTGCTTTCGTGTGTTTATTTTTATGATTACGTTTTTCTAACAAGTGATTCTTGTTTTCCATTGATGGGAGCAATATAAAATGTTGTGTTTACATACATAATTAAAGACTGCAATGATGAATCTATTTGGAGGAACGTATTAAGCAAATATGAGCCAAAGGCTCTGATCGTGGCGTTCCTTGACCCAGACGCCATCCAGAACTCCCCCCTAACAGAGACTCGGGCTTCAAAGCCTGCACCAGCCCGGGGAAGCAAGTCCTGACTTTGGACTCAGATGGACCAGAGTTCAAGTCACACTTCCATGTGACCTTGAGCAATTTTGTAAACCTCCCCGAGCTTTTCATTTCTTCACTTGTGGATTAAGGCTAAAAATTAGCTACAGCAAAAGTACAGGCTGGATGAGGGAGGGTGTGTAGACTGCCCAGGACTGAGCCTGAAATAGAGCCCTTTTTTTCCGGTCGACTTGTTTTCATCTAACAGACATCTGCAGGACGCAGCTACAAGAGGCCATGATGGAGGAAATGCAGTGTTCAGTGACAGGTGTTTCTGGGTAACAGAGAAGTTTCAGGCCAATGACGTGACAACATCTTCACTCGGCAAATATCTGCTGAGTACCCACCATGTGCCTGCTAGGGTTGTAGGTATTGAGCGTGGAGCAGCGGGCAGGGCTGCTCTTGGGGGGCTTGCGCTCAAGGTGGGGAAGACAGACAGGGAGCAGCCAAAGGCAGCAGGAATGCCAGTCATAAGTGCCGTGAAGGAAAAGACAGTGACATATGAAGGTGCACCCTGGAGGGCTCTCACCTAACGGGGAGGTCAGGAGAGCCTTCTTGGGGAAGGGACTTTTTTTTTTAATGTCTATTTCTTTTTAAGAGAGAGAGAGAGCATGAGAGGGGGAGGGCAGAGAGAGAGAGAGAGAGACAGAGACAGAGACAGAGACAGAATCCGAAGCAGGCTCCAGGCTCTGGGCAGTCAGCACAGAGCCCAACGCGGGGCTCAAACTTGTGAACCGCGAGATCATGACCTGAGCCGAAGTTGGACGCTCAATGGACTGAGCCACCCAGGCGCCCCAAGAAAATTTTCATGTAGATGAATTTCTCAATCCTTCTCATGTGGCTCCTGAATTTTCAATTACGGTTAGAAAGATTTCCCCATTTAGGAGTTGTAAAACAAACAAACAAACAAATAAGCAAAAAACTCATGTTTTCATTTAGTTTTTTTTTTTTTTTTTACACTGAACTCTTTGACCTGTTTGGGTTTATTCTTAGGGCGCAATGTGAGGTTTGGATCCAACGTCATTTTTGTTCCAGATGGCCGCCCAGGTGTCCAACGCTGTTCATTCATTGGCACACGAAAGTTTTTAGAATTTGATAAAGTCTGATCTATCTGTCTGTGGTTGCTTGAGCTTTTGGTGTTATCTCTAAGAAATAGTTGAAGTTGAAATCGAAGGCCAGAAAAATTTACCCCTGTGTTTTCTTCTAAGAATTGTATACCCCTAGCTTTTGTATTTAGATCTGATCCCTTTTGAGTTATTTCTTTTTAATATGATATGAGACAGGGGTCCACAGTTACTCTTTTTCCTGTGGCTATCCACTTGTCCTGGGATCATTTGTGAAAAGACTACTCTTTCCCCACTGAATGGTCACGGTACCCTTGCCAAAAGCCAGCTAAGCATGGAAGTACGGGTTTATTTCCACACTTCCACTTCTATCCCATTGATCCGTATGTCCAGCACCACTGACTGAATAGTTCATCGTTTCTACACCAGTCTGAGAGACCAGCTTTGTCGTAGACGCAAATCCCCAATCCATTTCTGGGCCTTCCTGTTTGTTCCATTGGTTTATTCATGTGACTGTTTGACCCCCTACAAAATCGGAAGCCTGGGAGTCCTCTGATGACATTCACTTTTTTAGAAGACCATCCAGGCTGTCGGTGGGAAGGACAGATTTTGGAAAGGCTTCCCCGGGGGCAGGAAGGCCACTCCCAGCGGCAGCCGGTGCTGTCTCCGGAACAGAGAGAACGAGGCTTGGCCGGGGCGTGGTGGGGTCATTGACAAGTTAGTCGTACCTTTGCAGTGGCCGTTCCTAACCTCCCTGCTCTCTGTTCCAGGGGCTGGAGGAGGAAGAAGAAATCCGAGATCAAGACGGATGCAGAAGATAGAGCTCGAGCAGTGATTCGGGAAGAATTCCAGAACCTGGGGCCCATCAAGTGCGTGGTGTGGGGGTTCCTGGCCTGGGGAGAGAGCCCAGCGTAGACTTCACTTTCAGGAGAGTTACCTCCTGGCCTGACCACTGGATCCCTAGGGGCTGAGTCCCGGGAGGGAGGGAGGTCTCAGGACGATGGCCTGGGAGCCTAGAGGTGGACGGTAGGAGGGTGGTTTACACAGTCAGCCTCTTGCCCTGGTGCTGTGCAAACACTCTGAGGACCAGGAAGCCCCTCGGCGTGTAGTTGGGGTGGGGATCTGCTGCCCTGTCCTGGCTAAAGCACCCTTTCCCTTCCGGCACACGGGGTACCCCCTGCCTCGGGCAGCTGCCGGGACCTTTTTCAATGCATGTTTCCCATGTGGTGAAAACGCCTAGGAGTCAGGGGGCCTGCACCCAAGACTGGCTCTGCCGCCTACTTCCTGTGTAGCCTTGGGCAAGGCACTAACTCGCTCTGGGCCCTGCTCCCCAGTCTGTGAGATGAGCACCTTGGGTAGATGTTTGCTCGGACGTTGGGGGATTGCCTGTGTCTGCCCCTGTCCATGTCCGTCTGCCCCCTCTGTGCATATAGTTATCTAACTTCCTCTGCGTGTATGACTGCTCCCGTCTCACCTACCTCTTGGCTGTTTCCTTCTTTTCGGTTTTTCTGCCTCTGCTTTGCTCTTTCTTTCTCTCTGTTGAGTCTCCGCCTCCCCCAACACCTTGGGAAATTCCCAGAGGGAAAGATATAAATAGCTTGGGGGGACGTGGTGTTTGATGCTCAGGAAGGATCCTGGGGGAGTGTGGAAGCCCCTGGACGGGAATCCCTTACACCCCAGGATACCCTTCCCCTCACTCTGGGGAGTGAATTACCTCTTGCAGCTTCTCGGAGGCAGGGCCTGGGCCCATCACAGCCAGAAGGCATCTGCCCAAGGCCTTCCCAACGCTGTGGTCCGCCCAAAGCCCACCATCACCGTGGCGCCTGCCTGTCTGTGCCACAGGTTTGCCGAGCAGGCCGTGTTCACCCTCTTCTGCATGTTCGCCATCCTCCTCTTCTCCCGGGATCCGAAGTTCATCCCTGGCTGGGCCAGCTTCTTCACCCCTGGGTGAGACTCGGGGGACCCGGGGGTGGAGCCCAATAGGGAAGATTCTGGGATGGGCCAATGGGGGGGGGGTGCGGGCGGTGGTTGGGTGTGTAACTTTGTCCCGTGTAACTATAAACAGCTCCGTCCTTTACCCTCAAAAAATTCAGGTTCAGATGATAAAACGTTTGGGGTTCTCACGTGTTAGGAGCTTTTGCCTTTGGAATCAGACAAAACTGGGCTCAAGCTTTGTAAGCTTGGCCACTCACAAATTGTGTACCCCTGAGATCATCATCCGCTCATGCATTCTACATCTTTAAATGGCTAAAAATCAAAAGATAAATATTTGTGACAAAGAAAGTTACATGAAATTCAAAGCTCATTGTCTGCAAATAAAGTTTCATTGGGACACACAGCCACACCTATTCATTTATGGATGGTCCGCAGCTGCTTTCATGGTGGTTAGTTGGAGAAGAACATTCTGTAGGAGGCTGCAGGTGGCTTCTCAACGATTCTAGTTTGGACTTGGGTTAGGCTTGTCATGAAGGCGAATATGTCTTTCAGATACTGCAACAGGCATTTGGAACCGTAAGCCTAGAAGCTCGGAGGAGGTGTTGGCTTGCAGATATAAATCTGGGAGTCATCACAGAAATTTGGAATTTAAGTCCAATTAAGGAATTGATGGGGCCAGCTAGGGAAAGAGTAAAGGGAGAGTGCAGAAGATTCTGAGGACCCCCAACATTTAGGAGCTGGGTGGTGGAGAGAAAGGGGAGAAGCAGTCGGGGAGGTAAGGTGGAAAGCCTGGGGCAATGAACCAGCCAAGGCCAAGAGGGGAGAGCGTTTTAGTAAAGAGTGAGCGGGCGACCACGTCAGATTCTGGTACGTCCGAACACGAGTAGATAGGAAATACGTCCTCTGGACTCGGTGAGAGCTCATGATTTCCATTAGCACCATCCAGTAGAAATAGAACGTGAGCCACGGATGTAATTTCCCAGTTTTAGTAGCCACGTTTAAAAAGTCAGAAGAAACAATGAAATCAATTCTAGTCATATCGCTCACTTAACGCACTATATCCTTTCAACACACGATCTACATAAGAAATTATTGAGATCTTTTACTTTTTTTTGCACTAACTCCTCAAAGTCTGGTGTGTAGTTTAACTGCAGCCCATCTAAGTTTGCTCTTGCCAGATTTCAAGTGTCTACTAACTGCTGGCTACCATTTGGATAGAGCAGCTCTACTCACGTAACTCTTGGGGCCTCGGACTCCCCCCGCCCTGGTTAAATGGGTGATATAAAGTCCTCATCTCATGTGGGTTGTTATAAGGAAGAAACAATGTCACTTCATCGAGCCAAGAGGAGAGGCTCTTACTTCCACGGTCTTCTTTTCCCAGGATGTAGATGCTTTGTTCTTTTTCTCAGATGAAAGATGGGTGTTGTAAACAGGCCAACAAAGCAAAGAGAATGAAAATCACCTAGAAACTCAGTCTCCAATTCTGACACACATCTTTCCTGACTGAAAAATGCCTGTCTGGGAACTGTTCTCCATCTCAATCCCATGGGTAGTTACAGGACTGTATACATTAGCCAAAACTCAAAAGTATATTACCCTTCAGATGGGCACGTTTGATTGCATGTTCATTATACCTCAATAAAGCTAATTGCAGAGATATATGCAACCTAGCTAAAAAGAAACCTATCTAAACAGAAGATTTTTTAACAGAAATGTGAGTATAGGAGACATATAAGTTGTGATCTGCTTTTTTTCCTTTTTGTTTAATCGTAAAAGTTATGTATAATCATAACAAATTCAAACAATGCTGAATTGAAGAACTCAAAGTTATTCTTCATTTAACCTCTGTAAATGAAGAGATTTTCACAATTAAAACTTCGTGTCTGACGTATCTGATATACACACACCCTCGCCCATAATAGTAGGTACACACAGACATATACGTATGCATATTACAAAAACTGGGAGAGTACAGTACTATAATCCTGGACAACTTGCTCTTTCTAACCTACTTCATTCTTTTTAAAAAAATTTTTTATGTTTATTCATTTTTGAGAGACAGAGCACAAGCAGGGGTGGGGCGGAGAGGGAGGGGGACACAGAATCTGAAGCGGGCTCCAGGCTCCGAGCTGTCAGCCCAGAGCCCGACGCGGGACTTGAACCCACCAACCGCGAGATCATGTCCTGAGCCGAAGTCGGCTGCTCAACCGACTGAGCCGCTCAGGCGCCCCTATTTTATAAGTTTTCAAAATGTTTATTTATTATTTTTGAGAGACAGAGCATGAGCAGGAGAGGGGCAGAGAGAGAGGGAGACACAGAATCCGAAGCAGGCTCCGGGTTCTGAGCTGTCAGCACAGAGCCCGCCGCGGGGCTCAAACCCACAAACCATGAGATCATGACCTGAGTCGAAGTCGGACGCTCAACCGACTGAGCCACCCGGGGGGCCCCTACTCCATTCTTTTTAAATGCTCCATAATAGTCTATAGAAGGAGAGCATCTTAATTTATTTAATCAATTCCTTTTGGATTGTGTCTAATATTGCAAATAAAAAGGTTTTATTTGCAAGATACCTTCGTTGTACTTCTATGTCAGTGCTTAAAGATTGATATCATCTTATATCTTTTAAAAAAACAGATGCAGGGGCGCCTGGGCGGCTCAGTCGGTTGAGCGACCGACTTGGGCTCAGGTCATGATCTCGGGGTTCGTGGGTTCGAGCCCTGCGTCGGGCTCTGTGCTGACCGCTCGGAGCCTGGAGCCCGCTTCTGATTCTGTGTCTCCCTCTCTCTCTGCCCCTCCCCTGCTCACGCTCTGTCTCTGTCTCAAGAATAAATAAACATTAAAAAAAAATTAAAACCAAACAGATGCAGGGCATTTCATTATAGATAAACTATTATATATACATTGTTGTACACAATTTAGTTACACGTGTCCGTACTAAAACTCTTCCATTTTTTTTTTTTTTACTCTTATCCATCATGAACATCCCTGTTCGTAGTCTGTGTACGAGAGTCAAGTTTCCCTGAGGGTAAATTCCTAGAAGTACAATGACTGGATCAAGGGGTATTTACATGTATTGAAACACGTTGCCAGCTGCCCTCCAGAAGGTTAAACCAATTTATTTTATACCATCGGTATATGCTTTCCAACGTCCGCATTAGATACTATCCTCACCCTTTCAGGTTTGGCCTGTTAGCAGACAAATGATACTCCAGCAGCATTTTGGTTGATATTTCTCTAACGCAGCGATAATGGCCATCTTTTCCAGTTTCTTGGTCCCTTGAATACTCTCCTTCCCAAATGTGTGGACTCAAAGGGCTTTTGTTGACGTGTGGCTCTGTGCCTCATTGAGTTTGGAGCCAGACGCATCTGGGTTCAGTGCCCGTCTCCCGCATGGACCATGGCCTGGCCTCGAGCAAGCTGCTTCTGCTCTGTGAGCCTCAGGTGCCTCATCTGAGATAGAAACTGGGTGGCCCCGAGAGACTTCTGTGAGCCTGATGTCTCCGCAAGGGGCGATGTGGATCCTTGAAAGGTGGTATTAAATTTCGAGGGGCTGTGAGGCTGCCCCCATCTGGTCTCTGCTGGTGCGACCGGGCCGCGTCTCCGTGCCGTGAGCTGCCCCTCCCAGGAGGAACGCGGAAGCGGAAGAGATACCTGACAGAGTCTCAGAGAAGCCTTGGTTGTGTGACCCATGGGAATTCCACAGATCCCGTATTCGGTGGCGCTCAGATCCTGCCCTCTGTGGTCAGGTCTCTCTTCCTGGGAGGGTCAACATTTGTTTGTCTCAGCAGCATCTAAGTACCCCGGGGGGCCGTGCATAGAAGGCTTGTGCATCACGGACAGTTGCATCCATGCTGAGTGCAGGCAGGACGCTGTCCAGTGGCCCGGAACGAGGCCCCCCTCGCAGAGAGCTCCTAACTCCCTCCCGCAAATCCTCGTTTGCAAATCTGCCAAACTTTTTGGCCTGCTGTGATGCCCCCGGGGTCACACGCTTTGGGGCCTTGTCATTGTAGGTTTCTTTCCGATGCTGTCACTGGAGTGGCCATTGTCACCGTCTTGTTCTTCTTCCCGTCCCAAAGGCCCTCTCTCAAGTGGTGGTTTGACTTTAAAGGTAAGGGGTCAGGGCTGGGGTCTCAGTGGGCTCAGTGACAACTGTGGCCTGAAGCATGGTCATCAGTGGCCCGGAGGCAGGGCCCGTGCCTGGGACCCGAGCCCCATGGCACTAACCTACTTCTTCCCTTCTCTCTGTCTGAGCCATTACCTTGTCTGGGGCACTTCGGGCCGCCACAGGTGACAGGCGGGGACAAGAGTCAGGAAGGAGAGCCGGCCCGATCCAGCTGGCCGGCTGCTTTGTACAGCCCACGAGCTAAGAATAGCTTTGACATTCTTTTAATGGTTGAAAACAATCCAAAGAAAAATATTTCATGACACAGGAACATTACACGAAATTCAAATTTCAGTGTCCATAAATAAAGTTTATTTCTTCGATAAGAAATTTGTGGACATTTATTCTCCTTAGAATCATATGTAGAATAGCCTTGATATTGCCTCTTGGCTCACAAAACCCGCCATATTCACTTTCTGACCCTTTTGTAGAAAAACTGTGCCGCCTGTGGGCCCGAGGCTGGAGCTGTGACTCAGTTGCCCAAGGGGCTGGACGTGAGGCTCTCAGGCCAGGTTTCGATGGCTAGGAAGTGGTAGAGACAGACGCACTTCTGCCTAACGGCATTCCAGGTTACATTAAAAGGATGCCGAGTCCCCCAGACTGTCCTTCAGGTGGCCAGTCTGTGACCCCGCTGGGATGGTTCCCAGCAGGTTAGCCCCTGTGACAGAGGGATGGGGCCAGTGGGATGAGCTCGGCACCAGGAGTCGGGAAATAGGGTCGTCATCTGTTTTATTTTATTTTTAAAATTTTTAATGTTTATTTATTTTTGACAGAGAGAGAGACAGAGAGAGAGAGAGAGAGACAAAGTGCAAGCAGGGGAGGGGCAGAGAGAGAGGGAGACAGAATCCGAAGCAGACTCCAGGCTCCGAGCTGTCAGCACAAAGCCCAACGCGGGGCTTGAACCCACGAGCTGTCAGATCATGACCTGAGCTGAAGCCGGACATTTAACCGACTGAGCCACCCAGGCGCCCCGTAATCTGTTTTCTGTCGTTGAGACAAAAACTAGAGTAATAGGTGGGTTAAGCTCCAGTTTCAGGGGAGGGGGTCTGAGTGCGGGGCATAAGGTAAGGATCAGTAGGGAGCCGATTTCACAGGGCCCTAGAAGCGGCTATAGCAACAGAACGAACACTGGGTCCAAGGACCCCCGGGCAGGGGGCTTTCGGACCCTGCAAACGGGCAGGATTCGTCTCTGCTCTCCGTCTTGCTTCCGACCGGCTTTCTCCATCATCCACACTGGGTACCACGTGCTGACCTCTCCATATTTCTCCAGCTTCTAAGTTTTGACCTCCTTATAGCCTCTGCTTCTTTACGGTTCCTGCTTTTTGTCTTCTGTAACTTCGGTTCCCCTACGGTGTCTTCTCTCTTGTAGTGCCCGCCTTCGCCGGACATCCACAACCGCAGCTTCCTGCCTCCTCCCTCCCGGCCCGCTCACGTCCCCTCTGCTTGCGGCCTGTAGCTATCACCGTAGCACCCCCTGTCTGTCCGCTTGCTGTGGACCTCCAAGAGTGAGACCCTGCCTGGTGTGGCTCGTTCTTACGCAGGCAGCTCTCCCGCGGGGCCACTCCTGGCCTCCTGGATAGCTGGCCTGTGGACCGGTTGCCCTTGATCAGGTCCCATCCATGCCTCTGTCACCTGTGGGGGGTGGGGGGAGGCTGAAAAAGGCCAGGCTTCCTGTCAGCCAGGGGCTGTCGGGAGGGCACTGTGACATAGATGTCTGGTATCCCAGCTCTGCTGCTGATGTGCTGGGTGACCCTGAGTAAGTTCCTAGGATGTCTGGGCCTTCTTTTGCTTTCTTTTTTTTTAAATTTTTAAAAAATGTTCATGTATTTTTGAGAGAGAGCGAGAGAGAGAGAGAGCAAGTGGGGGAGGGGCAGAGAGAGAGGGAGACACAGGATCCGAAGCAGGCTCCAGGCTCTGAGCTGACAGCACAGAGCCCGACGCGGGGGCTCAAACTCACAAGCTATGAGATCATGACCTGAGCCATAGTTGGACGCCTAACCGACGGAGCCCCCCAGGCACCCCTGGGCCTTCCTTTCCCACTTAGAGAATGAACATGTCCCTTAGGCACTTTTCACCTCTGCCTTTAGTCGTTTTCTGGAACAGGGGTTGCAAACGAAATGCCCACAGGGAGGTAACAGTTTTGGATGCAGCGGGGTCGGGGGGGGGGGGGCAGGAAAATGGGTTCCGTGAAACCGGGCCCTCCCTGTCCAGCTTTCCTTTTGCATTTTTGAAACAGAGACCAATGTCTATATCGTGAGGAAGACGGCAGCTGAGGATGATCTTGAGTGGCGAGATCCTTCACATCAGGGCACTGTGGGGTCTGTGGAAATCTAGCAAGCCAGTGCCCTTGAAATAAAGGGGCGCCGTGACTCAGTTTCCACCGAGTGTCACCACACAGGAAAGCTGAACTGGTTTCGCCACATTTGCTGACTTTTCAAGGGAAGCACAAAACTTTATGCAATCGCCCTGATTTTAAGCGTCAGCAACTGATTTCAGTGGAAAACCACAGCGTGGACCCACAACAGTAGCGTTAAAACGCGTCTGCGAGTTGGGTCTGGTCCACGGGGGCACAGCATGCCCCCTCTGTGGAGGATTCTTCGGGCTGGAGTGTCTGGGGCTGCCTGGTGGGTGGGGAGAGGGGACTCCGTGAGCTCTCCTGTCCTTGGACTACCGGCGGGCCCCGGGGAAGACTTGGCTGAAATGGTACATTCCAGCACTTAGGACTTACACGGAGCCCGACTGAGTGGCCAGTTTCCATGGACAGCAAGTGACTTGATCAAGGTCACATGGCTAGCGACACAGAAACAGGAGGTGGCACCCAGGCACCCAGGCCAACCTAGATTTTCTGATTATGCCTGCTGTCTTCCATTCTTCCCGGGCTCAGAGTTGCCCTTGTATTTCTGTCCCTTTATGGTCACTCGACAAGTACAGATGCAGTGCCTGCTATGTGCTGGGTGCTGTGCTTGCGGATGACAATGAGGACAATGGCAATGGGGACCTTCCATTTCCTCTCTGTCCACCAAGCTCTTCTTCCAGATATCGCGTGACTCACTGCCGTCACTCTACTCAGACTCTGTCCAAATGTCACCTCCCCAGAGAAGTCTTCCCTGACTACACTGTCTAGAAGAACATCCCCCGCCTTGTCACTCTTCACCCCTTTACCCTACTTTCTTGCCTTCATAACACATTACATTTCCTGACATTGTGAATTTATTGGTTTTTCACCTGCCTCCCTTCCTGGAATGTAAGTTCTCCAAGGCGGGTGGAGGGGGGGGGATTTTTTTTTTTTTTTCTGTTTTGGCCACTTCTGAATCCCCAGTGTCTAGAAGAGTGCTTGACACCCGATAGGTCCTCAATTTATACGTGTTAAATGAATAACCAAGGACTTGTTCTGGGCCACACCCGGAGCCGAACCCTTTGCACACGTGGACCCATTTCCTCTCCCCAGTGGGTCTCTGAAGTGACGTCACTAGCTCAAATCGCACAGCCGGACAGCCCAACGGACGGCAGAGCTAGGATTCAAATCTAGTTCAGATTCAGGGCCTGCTCCAGATAGCTCGCAGGCTAACATGGGGCGGGGAGTTTGAGATTCACATAGTTGGAGGCTCTGTGCTTTTAAGAAACAGCAACAGGGCGCAATTGGATGGGAAACTAAGGAAGCCGACCATGGCGATCATGGCGAAGGTTGAGTGCAGCAGGTGGCCTCTTTAGCACTTACCATGTAACTCATTGAATCTGCATGATGTTAAACCCTCCGTCAGGGCCTTTGCTTTTTCAGACCTTGCCTGCCTCTTTAATGAAATTATACTTTATCGCCTGAAGGCAGAGGACTGAGCCACCCAAGATCTCCGGCTTTCGCTTCCGGTAATCACAGTGTACAATTTGGAAAAAGCTGAAAAGGAGGAACAAAATGTCCACGGCTGGGTGACCCAGGAATTGTCCTGGGAAGTCGGGAACGGCCGTGCATGGGCCGGACCTGACCTCCTGCCTCCCTGGTGGCTACCTCAGGGACAGTTTCGTTTCCAGAGTGTTCACTCTGCACCAGGCATCGGGCTAAGCCAGGCACCTAACATCAGCTGATGAGCATTTTGGAGTGCACGCAGTGACACGGGGATTTGGCCGTGAACCAACCAGGACCCTCTCTGTCCACCAGCGGCTCTGCCATTAACCTCGTCAGTGTCCACGAGGGCCCCCCAAGGGACTCTCTCTGTGCCACGTGTCAGCTGAGGAAATGGGGGCTCAGACAGGCGAGATCACGTTCAAGGGCGTGCGGTGAGCCAACGTTGGAGCGTGCGTCTGCAGGCCTGTGCTCCCAGCACAGGGGTGGCAAACCTCAGCCCACGGGCCAAATGCACCCCTGCCCTTTCTAAGTAGAATTTCCTGGGGACACCACAGTGCCTTGTCTGCGTCTGTGCATTTGCTACAGTAGTGGCCTGTTTGCAACAGAACCTTGCAAACCTGAAGCAGCCGCTCCCCAACCCTTATAAAAGTTTGCCGATGCCCCCCCCCCCCCCCCGTTCTAACCAGTGCACGCAGACACTGCCGCTTTTGTAGAAAGAAAAATCATCCCATAACTCCACGGACGGAGGATACCCTTAGTTTCTCTCTTCCCGTTTCTTCCTTCCACTTTTTTCTCGCCCGCACCCATTCAGTTACAAAAAAGAGCCTTTTCTCTTGTAAATGAGGATGAAAGCACCACTCCTCCAGAAGGGGTTTGGGGAAATTGAAAAGATGTCCTGCATGTACATGGGGTGCCCGGTTCCAGGAGGTTCTCACGCCGTGGGAGCCATGACAATGATTTTCCTTCTGAATAGAGCAGATGCCCCTCATAATGCTCGGGGGGGGGGGGGTATTTTTTCCCTAAAGCTCCAAAATCAGATGCTGGAGCCAGACTGTGGCTCCCTGGGGACCCCCCAGCGGTACCCCCACAAAGATGGGGCCGCAGGGGGTAGTGACCTTTCTTCAGCCTGAGTGTCCTCTCTCCACCCAGCTTCTAACGCGGAGACAGAGCCCTTGCTGACGTGGAAGAAGGTCCAGGACACGGTGCCCTGGAACATCATCCTTCTCCTGGGAGGGGGCTTCGCCATGGCCAAAGGCTGCGAGGTAAGAGCGGCAGGCGGGCTGCGGGCCTGGGGAGGTGGGCGCAGGTCGTAGCCCCAGCTGCAGGCTCCGACTCAGAGCACCCGGGGTTGCGCGGGCGCTGCGGCCACCGGATCCCTCGTTTACCAGACGGGGACAACCAGGGGCTCCTACCTCACGGCGCCGCACTCAGGGCTGGGAGCTGTGCAGGAAAAGAGGGATAAGGTCTGATCCGGATTCTCAAGGAGCTCACGATGAGCACACTGCTACTCGCGACTACGGCTACTACCCAGACTCGAGGGGTTCTGCGAGCAGAGGAATAACATCGTCTTGGGCTCCCCCTGGGCCAGGCCCTTCTCCACGTGCTTTACACACCCGAACGCATCTAAACGTCCCAACAAGCCTCTGAGGTCGATGCCCCTATTATCCCCGTTCGATAGATTCAGACACCGAGGCACAGAGAAGGAAAGTAACTTGCCTAAGGTCACACAGCGATGCGCTCAGGATTAGAATCCGGGTCGTTTGGTGCCACAGCCTACGCTCTTAACCACCGTGGTAGAAATGTCAGATATCCTTACTATTAATTAGGGTTATTACGAATGTTGTTCTGGAGGGCTCTGGGAGCCGGGGCTGCAGCGGGGTGAGTGGAGCATAGAATTTCAGGAAGGGCCGCCTCAGTGTTGTCTTATCAAACGCTCACGCTGACCCTAGGGGGTGGGTAACATGTGTATTCCCATTTTACAGGTAGGGAAACTGAGGCACGGAAAAATTAAGCAGCTTTCTTAAGGTCATACAGTTGCATTTGGCTCAAGAGCGAGGGTTCCAACTCCAGGCAGGCTGCTTTCAGAGTCCCGCCTCCTCATGGCTCGTTTTGAAGAACTTCCCAAGAACAGGTTCTGCCTGAAGCGCTTTGCAAATAATGGACTCCTCTAACCTTCATCAACACCCCTGAAGTAGATGGATTGCTTGTCCCCATTTCAAAGATGAGGGAACCGAGGTAACTGGAGGCTAAATAGCTTGCCTATGTTCATGCACCCAGGAGATTGTTGGAGCCGGGATTTGAACCCCCAGCTCATGATCCTGGAACCCCCCCCGCGTCTCTCCTTGTCCGCCGAGGCATTTAAACCCACAACCAATTAAGGGTTAATCTGAAATTCAGATGAAGGAAACCTGAAATTGCCTCTCGGATTGCTTTCTTTCTTTAAAAAGTTCTTTTTAATGTTTTTATTTTTGAGACACAGAGAGAGCATGAGCAGGGGAGGGGCAGAGAGAGGGGGAGACACAGAATCCGAAGCAGGCTCCAGGCTCTGAGCTGTCCGCCCAGAGCCCGACGCAGGGCTTGAACCCACGGAGTGTGAGATCATGACCTGAGCCGAAGTCGGACGCCCAACCGACTGAGCCACCCAGGCGCCCCTTGTTTTCTCTCTTTCACTCAATTTTAATTTTCAGTTGCAAACAGTGATGCATAGGAGACATCCGTAAGGTATGTGCTAGTAAGAAGCCTCCGCGTGAGAATGCAAGTGTCTGGATCCCAATCCCGGCTCTCCCACTCTGCGCTGCGGTGCTTTGGGCAAGTTGCTAAACCTCTCTGGGCGCCGGTTTTCTCATCTATGAATTGGATGGAAGTTCTTCCTCTTCGGGGTTGTAGGACGTGACCCAGAGCAGACGTGTGCGAGAACTCCCCGTGCGTTCTCTCGGAATCCTCATTCTGTGACCTCTACCCCAGAGGCTCCTCTGAGCTTGGGATGTGGTGGGAAAAGCCCCGCTCTCGGTGGGGGCTGGGCCGCGGGGCCACTGGCCATCTGGGAGGTCAGTCTGGCTCCTGGCCCGGCCCTGGGCGGTCGCCGGGGTTTCTGTTCAACAAGGCCTTTGTGTGGCAGCTGCCCGCTTCCCCCAACCCCGGCTGGTACCATCCCCTGCCCAGGCCCACGCAGCCTGCCCCAGGCGGGACCAGAGCGCTCATGGCACATCCTGCTTCTCGGCCCCTGCCCTGTACCCTCGCCAGGCCACAGCCAGGCCTCCTGGGGCTTACAGGTCCTCGGACGGGGTCCAGGGTGAGCCCGGGTGTGTGGACCCCCAAGTACTGGTTCAGAAGGGCTGGAAGCAGATCCCGGTGCTCGCTTTGAGCTTGAGCAACTCACTTAAACCTGCTCAGTGTCCTCACTACGCTTCTCTCCCGCTGTAAAAACTGCCCATTACTCCCGATATATTCAGACTCTAGTCTGAAGGCTTCCTGGGCCTACACACAAGGCCCAGCATGGCCTGGCCCCTGCCTACCTCCCTGTCGTCGGCTCCTGCCTCTGTCCCCTGATTGGCTCCCCTCCAGTCCCACTGGCCCCTCGATGCTCCTCAGCTACCCTAGACTCATTTGCACCCCTGGACCTTTGCATCTGCTTTCTTTCTGCCTAATGCTCTTCCCTGAGATCTCTGAGTCCTGGCTCTTCAGGTCATTTCCAAGGTCACCAACTCAGAGGCCCTCCCTGGCACCATCTCTAAAGTAGCCTCGCCTATAATCCCTCTCCCTGTTACCACCCCACTTATTTCCTTCCTTATTCCCTTCCCCCAAATTGCCCTGTTCATTTCCCGGTGGGTGTCTCCCTTACTAGAACGTAAGCGCCATGAGGGCAGGGATCATATATGTCTCATTCACTACTGTTCCAGCATCCAGAAGAGTCCTGGTACATAACATGCGCAGTAAATATTTGTTGGACATGACCCGTAAAATGGGCTGTTTTTAGCACTGCCGATATGATGTATGGAAAGTGCACAGGGCTGATACATACCGGGTGCTAAAACCAGGGCCACCTTCAGCCTTCGTCCTTGAATTGTGAGTACAGTTTTACCGTCTCGTGAATTGAAAATTGGTCTTCCTCTGGCACCTTTAAGCATATCTCATTTAATCTCCATCCGAATAAACTTATCTACAAATACATTGAGGTCATAGGAGCTTGAGAGTAAGTCAGAGTGGAGCAAACCCTGTAGGCAAGCAGAAATGTGTTTATGCTCCCTATCCCTCATTTTCTGCTGGAGAGTCACCTCGATGATGATGGTCATGGTGATGATGATAATGATGATGGACGACTGGCATTATCATGTCATTGGAGAGGTGGCCTGGTGAAGAAAGTGCTAGAGTCCCAGCTCAGAATTCCAACCCTAGGGCAAATTACCTCACTTATTCAGGCAAGTTACCACCTCTGTGTGCCTCAGTTTCTTCAGTCATAAGATGGAGATAATTATACCACTTACCTCATGGAGCTGTTACGGGGATTAAATGAGCTAATATTAGCCCAGTCTTTGGACGAGTGCCTCGCACAGAGTGAACTCTACATTACGTGCGTGTTGAATTAAAGAAATAGTAATGAATCTTATCCAGGGCTGGGGCGCCTGGGTGGCGCAGTCGGTTAAGCGTCCGACTTCAGCCAGGTCACGATCTCGCGGTCCGGGAGTTCGAGCCCCGCGTCAGGCTCTGGGCTGATGGCTCAGAGCCTGGAGCCTGTTTCCGATTCTGTGTCTCCCTCTCTCTCTGCCCCTCCCCCGTTCATGCTCTGTCTCTCTCTGTCCCAAAAATAAATAAACATTGAAAAAAAAAAAAAGAAATAGTAATGAATCTTATCCAGGGCTTACTATGTAGAGGAACCGTGTTTTGCGCGTCTTTGTCTGACCCTTACCGCCAACTCCTTGAAGAAAGCGAGGGACAGAGATGTTCATCGATCTGCCCAACATCGTACAGCTTGTAAGCAGCACAGTGGTCTGAATGTTCGCACGTGTGCAGGAAGCCTTCTCTTTTTCCTTTCCCTGAATCAAATTCACTGGTTCTCTTTCCCTAGGAATTATTATACAGAGTTGTATTCAAACCGCTGAGCCTGGTGTGTTTTCTGAGGCTCTTAAAGATGGTCAAGCCTCTCCCTTCCCATCCTGCAACATGGCCTCAGGCACCTCTTGACATCTTTGGGGGGCCATGAGGAACACAGTTTGACAACCACCGCACTGGGCAATTTCTGAGTGTTTCCCCTTGTGACTCGAAGCTACTAATGACAGCTGGCACGTGTGGGGCCCTCACCAGGTACCCAGGCATTTTCCAACTGCTTTATAGATTAGCTCCTTTTCTCCCAACAGTCACCTTCTGGGACAGGCGCTGTCACACCCTCGTTTACAGATTTAAAAAAATTAAGGCACAGAGAGGTTAAGTTGCTTGCCCGGGACAGCACAGCTAGAAAGGATTAAGGTGGGGAACAAGGTCATTCTGATTCCAGAGCCCTTTCTCCTCATCCTCTGGGTATACAACCTCCAAACTTGCTTGTTGCATGGTTCCCCCTGGAACGCCATGGGGCTGTGTGTTTCCAAGGAAACAGAGCTTTGATACCGAAGGGATTGGGAAAGGGCAGGCGAAGCCCTTTGGAGTCCCCAAGAGAACCCCGGGAAGCAGGGGGTTCTGCCGCTGCCCCTGCGGGACCGCCCTCTGACTGCAGAAGCTGAGCCAAGGACCCGTAGGGGCTGCGACCTTGGCCGGAAGCCCGCCACCCAGAGGCCCAGCCACTGGGAAGCTTTTGGCTTCTCATTCATCCAAGTCATTAATATTCCTCCTCTCCAGCTTCTCTCCCTTAAATCGCGCACACGGCCGCCAGTCTCCTAGGAGTGGCCTCTGGGAAAAACCAGTGGCCCCATTTTTTCCTTGCACGGTTCCCTGGGCCAGGGGAGGGCTGGGACCTTGACTCTGCCACTCGCCATAATTTCTAGGCTATCAGACAAACAGTGCCGAGGTACAGATGTAAAAGAAGCAAGTTAATTTTACAGTCTCTTCTAGAGAAAAATATCTTTAAGCATTTATGATTCGTTCCTTCAAGGTAACTTTTAAGTCAAATTCTGGGGACAAGTATAGTATAGTATTTTATTTATGTGAATACATAGGGTGCTTGGGTGGCTCAGTCGGTTAAAGCGTCAGACTTCGGCTCAGGTCATGATCTCTTGGTCTGTGAGTTCAAGCCCTGCGTCAGGCTCTGTGCTGACAGCTCAGAGCCTGGAGCCTGTTTGGGATTCTGTGTCTCCCTCTCTCTTTGCCCCTCCCCCACTCATTCTCTCTCCCTCTCTCTCTCTCTCTCTCTCTCTCAAAAATAAACATAAAAAATAAAAAAAAATAGTATGCTGTGTTCTAGAATCCATTATGAAATTTTAAGTTCTAGAGAAGCGGTAAATTTTCTTTTTTTTTTTTTTCTCATACGATTGGTTTAATTTTTTCTCAGCAGGAGAAAAAAGCAGTACATTTTCTATTAACCATAAAAGAAATGTGTAAAGATCCTTTGAAAACACCGAAGCGTGTTGGTCTCAGAGGATACTGGGTTGCGAAAAGGGCTGTGGTAAAGGTTCACTTGATTGAATATCTGAACACCCCTGAGTAGAGTAACTCCTGAAGAAGTCAGCAGAAGAGAGCCTGGAGACCATTCTGGAGCACTGATGGTCACCACTGTGGTCCGTCCTAACGACCTTCCTGGGCCCAGCCCTCGGGGGGTGGCAGCTGGGGCCGGGCCGGCTCTGAACAGAGGCCCCCCGCCCCCCGCAGGAGTCGGGGCTATCGGCGTGGATCGGTGGGCAGCTGCACCCCCTGGAGAACGTGCCGCCCCCGCTGGCCGTGCTGCTCATCACTGTTGTCGTCGCCTTCTTCACCGAGTTTGCCAGCAACACGGCCACTATCATCATCTTCCTGCCCGTCCTGGCGGAGCTGGTGAGAGTCCTGGGGGTGGGGGGGGGGGGGGGGGGGGGGGGGGGCGGAGGGCGCCGGGGGGGGGGGGGGGAGGGCGCGGAGGGTGGGTGCTTCAGAAATCTCTCCCCTGCCACTGGGCGCTCCATGGGGGACTACAGGTGCCATCGCCCTCTTCTAAACCGCATGAACGTGTTAGACCCTGATTTTTTTTTTAATACTGATTTTTTTCTTTTTTCTTTTTTTTCTTATTTAAAAAAAAATTTTTTTAACGTTTATTTATTTTTGAGACAGAGAGAGACAGAGCATGAACGGGGGAGGGGCAGAGAGAGAGGGGGACACAGAATCCGAAGCAGGCTCCAGACTCTGAGCCATCAGCCCAGAGCCCGACGCGGGGCTCGAACTCACGGACCGCGAGATCGTGACCTGAGTTAAGTCAGACGCTTAACCGACTGAGCCACCCAGGCGCCCCTGATTTTTTTTTCTTTAAGAAATACACAGAGTAAATATTTTCAAAAGTGCACCCAATTTCTTCCTTTGGAGAGGTTTCTAGGAAAATAGAAATTGTCAAATTTGGATTCAGACGAAGTAGAAAGATCTGAGTAAGGCAAATAACCACAGAAGAAACTCTAATGGTAGGCGCAGTTCTAACCTCCCTCTAGAGCAGGGTTTCTCAGCACTGTTGACATTTGGGGCCAAAGAGCTGTCTGTTGTGTGGGGCTGCCCTGGACACGGTAGGACGGTCAGCAGCCCTGGCCGCCGCCTGCTAGGTGCCAGCCAGGAGCTTCCCCTACATCGTGACAATCAAAAACGTCTCCAGACGTTGCCAAGCGTCCCCTGGTCGGGGGTGGGGGACAAAACCATCCTCAGTGGAGAACCGCCGCCCTAAAAAATCACCAGCCCGTCCTCAGAGGGTTAGCTGGGTGACAGCTTCCAGACCTTCAAAGGGCAGATCGTTCCCACCTTATTGAAACTATTTCAGAGCACGGAAAGACAGAGAAAGCCGTGCAACCCAGGAATAAGGTTGGCAAAACGCAGCCGCTGAAACCAAAGGACAGCAGAGCGGTGGGGGAGGGCGGGGTGTAGTCACGACTCAATCTCACACGTAAACAGAGATGCAAATAGCAAAATAAATCTGGGCACGTACCATCAAATAGAGTCTATGTTAGGAATTTCAAAACTGATTAACATTAGAAACGATGGGCTTGGTTCCGTATTTAAATAGATTAGAGAAGGCTTTAGCGCACGATTATCTCAATAGAATCCAAAATTGATCAGATTAAATCAGTGTTGCAACTCCGGGCTTTGTATGCGAACAGTGATCAACCAGGCACTCTTATCTGAGCCACTGTGTTTTTGGCTTTTGTCGGCTTATTTCAATTTGTAAGGGAGTTCGCACTGCCTTAGCACACGGAGATGTACTTTATCCTTCTTCAGGGAATAGAGGATGTTCTGTTACCAGTGGATGGCAGTGGGTTTATTTCAGATCTTCGGTGATGGACACGTAGGTTTGCTTCCAGCCTTTGCTGTGGTCCAGCAACGTTTGCCGGACCTTTCCTTGTCTGTGCGCCTTTGGGTCCATCTAGATACGTTCCTGGATGAGATCCCTGGATCGGAGAGCTTGTGCGTGTATACTTTTGTTAGAAGTGGGCAAACTGCCCTCCAAAGTGGGCATGCCATTCTCACTCCCGCCAGTAGTGAGGGGAGGGGGGTCCCCAAACCTTGCCACGTGTGATCGGACTTAATCACACCCTTCACCGGGCTCTGAGGGAGCAGATGATTGGGAGAGGTGGGACACTTCAGGGTGGTGGGGGGAGGAGAAGCAGAGACCCAGCCAGGTCTGTTGGGGCGACTTTTGCTGGAGAAGACACTGGCAAATCACACAGGCTTCCAAATGTTGCTTGTCATCAAAACCCAAACGTTTTACGTGTCAGGGGGACGCATTTAGCACTTTCTGAGAAAAGTTATATGCTTTGGGTTATAAAAATTTGCCAGAGGGGCCAAAAATGTCCTATCTTAAATACAATAGCAGAGAAGAAACCCACGTGAATTGTAGATGAATATGTCATTTGGGGGAGGTGACGAACCAGTGGCCCACTGAGCGAGGTCAACACACAGACGCATTTGATTCACACAATCTTAGAAATCGGGAAATGCTTATCGACAGACGTGTCCTTGAAATCCGGTGAGGCCCCAAGTAAAGGTGTGGACTGTTTGGCCGAGGGAAGGACCAGGCAGGGGACTTGTTACTTTGTTTTACTATTTTTTAAAAAAAAAATTATAAACGTTTATTTATTTATTGGGGGGTGGGGGCAGAGAGAGAATCCCAAGCAGGCCCCACACTGTCAGTACAGAGCCTGACGTGGGGCTCGAATTCATGAACCTGTGAGATCGTGACCTGAGCCGAAATCAAGAGTCAGACACTCAACCGACTGAACTACCCAGGCACCCCAGGACTTGATATTTTAGAGCCATGGTTCTCTGGACCCACAGTAGCAGCAGGGAACTCATTTCGAATGCAGGCTCTTGGGGCCACCCCAGACCTGCTGAATCAGAAACTCTGGGCAAAGTGGGGCCGCCACGCCGTGTTTTAGCAAGCCCTCCGGGTATGATGCTGCCCTCTCAGGCGGGAGAAGGTGTGTTCTAGATAAATCTCCCCAGCCCATCCTCCCCAGTGAACATGCAGTGTGGCCCCAGGATGTCACTAACCTGGGGAATGTCCTCTCCATGTGTCCTTTGATTTGGGTTCTCTTCTTGTCTGTCTCTACTGTTGCCTGTGGATCTGCGTTTCTGGCTGTATCTCTTCTTGTGTCGTCTCCCAACCTGTCTTCTCGTCTGCTGCCACTGTTCTCTGCCAGTCTCCGTCTATGCGTCCCTGTGCGTCTCTTTCCGTGTCTTACCTGTTGTGGCTTTCAACCGTCTCCATCGGTTGTCGTCGCTTCTCTCTCTTTCCCTGCCGGGGTCACCGCCCCCGCCCCTGCCTCGGTCCAGGCCATCCGCCTGAGGGTGCACCCCCTCTACTTGATGGTCCCCGGCACAGTCAGCTGCTCCTATGCCTTCATGCTCCCAGTCTCGACGCCCCCCAACTCGATTGCCTTCGCCTCTGGACACTTGCTGGTCAAAGACATGGTGAGTCCTGGCGCGTCCCGACAGAGGCCTGAGACGGGGTGGGGGTGGACAGCAGGTGCCGGGCGAGACGTCTGGGCGGGACCCCTGGTCCCACTTTACCAAACCCCAGTTTCTGAATAAGTCATTCGGAGCCGGACCAGGGGGATCCGCTTTAACAGACACTCTGGGATGATTCTTGTGCTTGGACAATTTCAGGAAATGGCCTTCGTGATGACTTTCCAGAGTCTGCTTCAGGGACAAGGGACTTCCTCCCCTCTCTGGGCACTGCTCTCTTTTCTTACTTGTTCCTCCGGCTGCTCTGTGCCTGGAATCTTTAGGAGGGAGGAACTGGGGTAGCAGCAGTGGGGAGACCCACCGGTGTGTTCCCTCTCCCCTCGCTCCCCTGCTGAACCCTCTCCTCCCTCCCTCCCCTGCTTCCCCTGCTGCTTCCACTGGCTGCCTGGGGCACTCAGGGAATGCAAATCCAAAGCTGGTGTAAGTAACTGAAGAGGGTGGTGTTCCCAGTCCAGGCTCTCCAGGCACAGATACCCCAGCAGGAGCTGGGGAGGGAGAGAGAAAGGGGGTGGACAAGAGTGAGAGACAGAAAGAGGTCACAGAGCAAACAGAGAGAAGGAGGAGGCTGGTGTGCCTGGAATTGGGAAGATGAGACCAGAGGCCCGGGAGGGGAGGTCGGTGCACAGCATGCAAGGCACAGACTTAGGATATCATTCAGCGCACAGTGGGAGGACTTTCAAGGGATTTAAGCAGGGCAAGGCTGGGTCTGAGAGCCCAGGGGAGGGTCCCACAGGGCCAGCCAAAAGGGTCCTTGGCTTCACGCAGGACCGAAATCAAATGTGAGCCAGGGACAGTGAAAACAGAGTTTACTGAAGAGTATGAGAGACAGAGAATAAGGGACAGAGTGGGAGACCCTCAGAATGGAGAGAAAAATGAGTCTCCTCGTTGCTCGGGGTTAGGGGTTTATACTGGACAAGGGTCTAGGGAACGCGTGTGTTCCTTTAAGAATCCGCTAGGTCCAATCAAAGAGAGAGTCCGGTGAGCAATAGGTATTATTCCACGAATCCCCGAAGGTAAGGGTACGTGTTTGGGATCTGGCCCTTAGGTGTTATCAGGTGTTCGGGGCCTAGGACAAAACAGAGAATGATTCACTTTCTTGCTTCCCCCTCGAGGTGGGAAAGAATCCGGAACATGAGGATACGGACCCTGGCAGAAAAACAGCAGAGATGGAGACTTTCTAGAGTGGAGTCCCTGTCCGATGTCACAGGGATGTGGTTTCACTCGTGCCCCTCCGAGATGGCTTTGGCTGCCGGTGGAGTGGACTGCTGGGGGCTGGGGGCCAGTGTGGAAAGGGAGGCTGCTTAGGGAAGGCAGAAATGGAGATGTGACGCCCATCCTGGGAACAAAGGGACACGAGAGAAATGGAGAGGCTCCGAGAGGTAGAGGCCTGCCAAGAGCACGGAGAGGGGCAGAAAGATGCACAAAGAGGTGCTGGCTCTGGAGGCTTGGGTCCAGACAGTGATGATGTTGTAGGCAGCTGACGTAACGAATGTGGGACTAAGCAGGCATTTTGAGGCAGGCTCCCAGGAGCGCAGCCCTCCTCCCGGCCGCCCCAAAGCTTAGGCCTGTCCCCTTCCAATCCTCCAAAGTTGCCAGGGTTTGAAGGTACCCCCAAGAGCAAAGGCAGGATAGCACGACACAGTTCGACCTTGTTGCTTGGCATACGCCCTTCACGACTTGATGCCCTTTCCGCGAACCATCCGTGGCAATGTTTACTTAACAATTGTAATCAACTTAAATTTAAAAAAAAAACTTAAGAGTATTTGAAAAGAAGAGTTTCCGCTGCAATCTGTACATGGAAAACTGGTAACGTATGCCACAGAAGGGAAGTCTAAAAATAAACGCAGACCAAAGAAAGCAAAATAATTACTTTTGCTCCGATAGCAATTGCCCTGGAGAAGGTTCTGAACCCCTCCTTGTCAAAGAGGGCCATTGGCGAGGAAGAGAGAGCGTTAAGGGCATGAAGCACACCCGAGGGAGACCTTCTCTGTGAGGAAAAGGTCCAAAGGGGGATTGAAAAGGGAGTCACTTGCCTACCGTGCAGTTCACAGCTGGTCAAGGCCAAGATGGAACATCAGAAAACCCTGATGAGAAACAGGGATTTTCAGCCCCAGGTTGGACTGAATGGCCCAGGAGGTTGGCTCTGGGGAAGAAGCAAACTTGTTCTAGCTTCTTAAAAAGGTCAAAACTTCCATCAGACAAACCTTCGTAACAAGTAAGTATAGCCTTAAGTAGACGTGTAGTGTGTATGAGTGTATGTGTGTGTGTGTGTGTGTGTGTGTGCGCGCGTGTGTGTTACTGGTCAAACCAGATCATTTTCAAGCTGTGTGACGTGGGTAAGCCCACTTCTCTGAGCCTCAGTTTCCTCTTCTGTAAAGTGGAAATAATAATAATAATCACCTGCGAAAGGTTGCTTTCAGGGTTAAGGGACACATCTGTGTGACAGAGTACCTGACACCTAGAAACCACTCGAGGGCTGGGGACATTTGCAGCTCTTTGAGGGACAGCCCAGGGTCATGTAAAGATGGGGGGGTTGTGGGCATCCACCGGCCTCGTGTCCTGGAACCATCGCTTCAGGGCTGGGAGACCTTGAGTGAATGACTTCCTTAACTCTGAGTGTGGGTTTTCCCATCCGTACGATGACCCCTTCCTTACTCTGGGCTCCGTTTCAGGTGCGGACAGGCCTCCTGATGAACCTGATGGGCGTCCTGCTGCTCAGCTTGGCCATGAATACTTGGGCACAGACCATCTTCCAACTGGGCACCTTTCCGGATTGGGCCGACATCCACTCAGTCAACATCACATCACTGCCGTCCGCCTTGCCCAACGACACATTTCGGACCCTTTGAGCCCCGCTCCGGGACTCTCTTTGGGCTGGGCCCTCCCAGAAGGCTTTTGCCATCACCCGCTGCTAGGAAACAAGCTCTCTGAGCTGTTCTGTGGCTAGGATGCAAAGGAGCCTTATTTCAGCAATCTGGAATGGTGTTTGTCTTAAACAGTTGGAAACGGGGGCCACCGAATCGCATGGGCACAACTGACATCCCCCACTGCCTGCTTTAGGTTTCACTCTGGAGAGATCATCTCGCCTTTAGAGCTCGCCTGCCTCACAGAGGCTTTTGGGGCTGCGCTGTGCCAGTCCTTCACAGGTGGTGTGTGTTCTGCTCGGCTGGTGCCCCTCCCGTGCCCGTCGTTTGAATTTTACCAATCCCCGGCAGCTAGGGTTATTGCCGATCCCTGGAGACGGGGGGAGGGACAGATGACTTCCTGAGGAGGTGGAGGCTGTGCAAAGCCTCCCTGCTGCTCCTCTGTGCGCCTGAGCACGCCAGGAGCGTTCTAGAAATCCCAGCTGATGCCTCTACCCACCCTGTTTAGGATTTTCCTGTTTAATCGAGTCAGTTTGACCGTAATTCTGGGGTCAGGCCAAGCCTGGGCCCTAATGTCTCACGAGTGGCCCAAGGTTCTTCCAGCAAGGACTCCTGTCCTTTGAGGGCCTTTGAGGCCATCAGCCCTTCCTCGTTCCAGCAGCTGGTCTTTACCTCCCCACCCACACCCCAGGGGGTAAGCATGTTTAATGAGCCAAGGCCACGTATTTCAGAGATGAGAAAAAAAAAAAAAAAGTCAGAAGATAGATTGGAGCCTCGTAAGAGGCCAGGGTGAAATTTCTCAGGCAGGCAAAATATCGTAACCCTCTTCTCCAGACGGGGTCAAGGGAGACTCCCCTGAGCCAGTGGCTGGTGGGAGCTGTCCTCCCTGTTTCCAGCAGAAACGTCTGGGCATCCCCTTAGGTCCCATGGGTGTTCAGAAAGTGGAAAGAGCGGCCCAGCGTTAGCCTGGCTCCAGCAAAGGTGCCAGGAAGGGGTCCAGAAGCATTATGTCTCCCCTTCCTACGCATCTGAGGGTTGAGGTTCTCTGGGCAGCGTGGGCTGGGACTCAGTACGGTACGAGTGAGTCACAGAGGTTTCCCTGGGAGCAGGAGGGAGAGAGGAGAGGCCTCCAAGTTGGAGAATGCGGTCCATCTCTTCCCACGTGAGCACTTTAGTATTTAGCCACGGTTACAGCCCATGGGGGTCGGAGGCTGCTCTCCTGACGGGAGAAACCCATGGGACCTGTAACCTGATGAATTGTGATTTCGAATCCTGATTGATTGAAAACGCTATAAAATAAAGAATGTGAATCAACAGTGGACCTAGAGGTCATTTGCTTTGTGGACATAAGTAAGTTTTAAAGCCACAAACTCCTGAGCTGGGAGTTCCACGGAATTGACCTCCCTGACCTAGCTTCCTTATTGCCCTTCCCCCTCCACTCTAACCACATGCTTCAACTGTCCTGCCCCGGGGCCTTTACACATGCTTCTCCCCACCCACCCCTCCCCCCGCCCCCCGCCCCTGCCAAGAACACTTTGCTTCCCACATATGTGCTTGTTTCCTCACTTTATTCAGGCCTCTGCCCAAATGTCACCTCCCCGGAGAAGCTTCACTAACCATCTAGTCTAAAATCCAGCTCCTTACTCTGCTGTATTTTTCTTCGTCGTGTTTAGTCAAGACACCGTATTGTGTATTTTCTAGAATATCAGCCTATCAGAATACAAACTTTATTTTGTTGAGTGCCGTAACTCTGGTATCTAGAATGGTTTCTGGCACATAATAGGTGCTCAGGAAATATTTGATAAATGAATCTGTACCAAAATTTATGAGCCAGCAATCTCGACCTCCGATCTGAGGTCTGTTCTATTCATTTCTTTGTTCACTCCTTCTTCCACGCATTCATTCAACAATATTTATGTAAAACCTGATTATGGGCTCCTTCACTGTCCCCACCCACATGGAACTTACATTCTAGCTAAGGAGACAGGCAGTGGGCAGGTAAACAGATAAAATCACTCTGGGTCATGAGGCGGGGTAAGAAGAAAATGAAACTGGACAATGTGACCAAGTGACTCAGAAGCTGCTTCAGCCGGGGGTGCTCAGGGAGGACTTCTCTGAGGAGGTGGCATTGGCCTGAGACCAAGAGTCAGCCGATGGAGGCATGGGAGGACGGTGGGCCGCAGGAGGGGTGCAGAGTCATTGGAAATACACATGAGACTCGCGTCCGGAATGCAACAGGTGTCAGAAAGAGCAAATACAAAACAAAACATCTGTTCTAGTTAACTGGCTGCATTAACAAACCACCCCAAAACTCAGGCCCCAGAACACAGCAGCTTATTGGCTTATGTTTCTGCATTTAGACAGAGATCTACAGGGACGGTTTCATCTCTGCTCCAGATGGGGTGTCCAGGGCAAGTCAGTGGGGAGTTTAGCTGGACCTTGAATGTCCACAATGACCACGGAGCCTCTGGGGTGATGTGGCTTCTCCAGGAGTCTAGCCCAGGCCTCTGAACCTGACGGTGGGCTTCTCAGAAGGCAAAAGCAGTAGCTACACAGCCCCTTACGGGCCGGGGTCGCGAATCGAAGAACTCAATTCTGCCACATTCTATTGGTCAAAGCAAGCCAAGGGTTACCTGGTTCAAGGGGAGGGGAACAGGTCCCAGCCTTCATGGGAGGAGTGGTATCCACGTACAGAGAGGGGAAGAGGCTTGGCCGCTGTCTTTGGAAGACGCCAGCCCTGACACCCAGAGCAGGGAGAGATACGGCTGTGCCGTTCTGAAGCAGGGCGTCGAGATGGCCAGAGCTTGGTAAGGAGATGCTCGAACCCATTTGCAATCAGATAAATGCAAGTTCAACCAAGATGCCAATCCCACCAGTGGGAACCAGGAAAGGGAACGATACGTGATAGCGACACAGAAGGAAACAGACGCCCTCCCATCCCGCGGGGCAGACGATAACCCCTCACCGGCAGCCTGGCAAGCAACGGGGCAGTAATTAGGGGGAATTTGTTACCTGCGTTGCCTGTGGCCCAGTTTTCCTCCTGGGTTCGTGTCCCGGCAAAATCATTGCACGGTTCCTACGGGGACAATGTAGGAGGATGTTTGGGCACCGCCGTTTGAGGAACCCAGGAGCTGGAGGCCACCTAGATGACCACCATGGGGGTGGCAGTATTTAAGTAAAATACGGGGAAGCACACCGTGGAAAGCACGACAGCCCGCAGAAGTGATGAACAACGGGTACGTGGAAGGACTGGATAGACACATGCATATTCTGGTGCATATATCAAGAAATTAGAGAGTCAGGTGGGCAGGAGAACGGAAGTGGTGACGTCAAATGGAAAACAAGGCGAATAAAAGCCACTAGATGAGGGGTTCAATGAGCCACTTTAGACTCCTGGCTCTACACGCGACAAGCTGTGTGACCCTGAGGACGTCCTTTACGCTTTGGGCTTGGGTTTCCTCATCTGAGAGATAAAGAGTGCGTAGTCAGGGTCTTGAAAGGAAATATATAAACTAGCTAATTTGAGGATAGCTTAGGAACGGGTCTAGTTACAGGGTGTGGGCAGAGGACATGGAAACCATGAGGGGAAGTGCAGATCCTCGGTGGTGGGAGAGGGGTGAGCGAGAGGGGGTGGCTCCTTTACTCCTGGGACACATACAGCCCAAGACGACTCTGAAAGGGGGACACTGCCTCGGATTTTTCTCTTCAGCCACGCTCAGCTCTCCCACTGGCGCTCCCCATGACCAACCCAACTGTATCCGTCGGGGTTCTCCAGAGAAAGCTGAACGAACAGGATGCAAATATGTGGATCTATATGAATATCCAGGAAAGAGTCCAAAGGCAATCCACTGGCACAATTCCCTCTCGCTCAGGGGAGGTCAGTCTTTTGTTCTACTCAGACCTTCAACTGATTGGACGAGGCCCACCCCATTAGGAGGGGGCAGTCTGATTTACTCAGACTCCATTGATCTAAACATAAACCTCATCCAAAAAGTCCCTCACAGAAACAGCTAGAATAACGTTTGACCAAATAGCTGGATGCTGTGGCCCAGCCACGTGGACACAGAAATCTCACCATCACACCTACGGAAGCCAGAATGCGGGAGGGCCCTCTGAGGCAGCCCATCCAGGTGGGGCTCCAGGGATCAGGGCAGGGAGGAGAGGGGAGACTGTGTCTGGAGGGGTAAACCGAGAAAACATGGCACGAAAGGTTTAGACCAAATCGGAGCTTGTAGTCTAGCGGTCCCTGGGTCTGCCTCCAGCCCATAGTCAGGGTCTCTTGCCCCCTCTCGTGGTTTTAAACTATTAATTGATTGCTAATATTTTAAACTCAGAAAATGTCACGTTAGAACCTAGTTTTGTGCTGCTCTTAGAAAAGAAAATGTCAGGAGGTCTGGCAACATGGGACCCTATTGCTACCTGGCAACAGGAGTTGAGTAGTGGTGGTGGGAAAACTCAAGTTGGAGGGTAAAATCTCTTGTTTGCCACAGTCCCCACCCCTCCTTAATGTCTTAGGCTGACTCTCTTCATTTTAATTTTTTTTTAATTTTTTAAAAAATTATTTATTTATTTTTGAGAGAGAAAGAGAGAGAGTGCGAGTAGAAGAGGAACAGAGAGAGAGGGAGACACAAAATCCAAAGCAGGCTCCAGGCTCTGAGCTGTCAGCACAGAGCCCAACACGGTGCTCGAATCCATGGACGGTGAGATCATGACCCGAGCCAAAGTCGGACGCTCAACCGAATGAGCCACCCGGGTGCCCCAAGACTCTCTTCACTTTAAAACACGGGTTTTTAGGAGCGCCTGGGTGGCTCAGTCAGTTAAGTGTCCGACTTCGGCCCGGGTCATGATCTCATGGTTCATGGGTTCGAGCCCTGCGTCGGGCTCACTGCTCTGTCAGCACAGAGCTGAGAACCTGTTTTGGATTGTGTCTCCTTCTGTCTCTCTCGGCCCCTCCCCAACTTGTATTCTCTCTCTCTCTCTCTCTCTCTCTCAAAAATAAATAAACATTTTTTAAAATTTTTAAAAATAAAAACACAGGATTTTAAAACAGAGCACAAAAAAGGAAGATAATATATCCCCTTAATAAATGTTATACTGATTACATTTCGAGAGGATACTATTTGGGATACGTTAGGTTGAATAAAACATCTGATTAAAGTAAATTTCAGTTTTTTATGTGGCTACTAGAAAATGTCTAATTATATACTCGGCCCACATTCTGTTTCTGTTGGATACTACTATCTATTTGGTAAGACTTTAGCCACCTCCCCACATTCTCAGACCGAGGGGGTGGTGGCAATATTCTATGCCCACAGGCTGTACAACTCAACGACTCCCGTGTTCCATGGACTACTGATTCTGATTGTGGACCTGAAAGGCTCACCACTTCCTCTTCCTGTTCTGTCTTATGGTTCTGAATCTTCTACCCAGAAATTCCCCCAACAAAGCTGATTCTATTTTTGATGATTCAGAAGACATTTCTGGATGTGGGATTTGGAGCCAGGCCAGCTTTACAGAGGCAGAAGTGACTGCCTACATGTGCTGAGAAGAGCCAAAAATATCTTCTGCCCCTTCCCCTGCTGCACCACCGAACCCCCAGATCTTACGCATTCCTCGGAGGCCTTCAGGAAATGGTCAACATGGTCCTTTAACCGATCGGCTGTCCGGTCTCAGCACACAAACTGGGCGAATGCCGGGGTCTTCCGGGATGGCTCCCCTCGGACCAGCACGATGCCCTGAAATTTCCTGTGCGAGGGGGACCCAGGCTAGGGATCCGACTTGTGGGCATCACAGAGGCCTGTATTATCAGTGAGGTCTGAGCAGCCTGGGGCTCACGGAGGCCGAGCTGTCAGCCCAGGTCTGAGAAAGCAGGGCAGGAGTATTTGGCTGTTATGCCCTGGGTGCTCTGCATACATTATTTCATTGAATCCTCAAAGAATCCTAAGAAGTAGGTAGGAGTAGTCTCAAGAGAGCAGAGTCCACACAAGTTCAGAGAAGGACAGTTTTCTTGTCCAAGGTCGCACAGCACAGGAAGTGCAAAGCTGGCATTCAAGTACAGACTGACTACCGTCAGCCCGGGGCCCCTGCAGTTCGGAGGGACCGTCAGACGGCTCCCTACGTCAGCCCCACGGAGGTTTTCTGCAGAGGTTGTGAGTCGGGAGCCCTCTTGCTGGCTTCGGCCCACGGGCCTGTTGAGGTTGGTCCGCACAGCGGTCTTTTCTTTTTCTTTTTTTAATGCTGGCTTGAAAAACTTGGAGACTTTTACGCCCAAAATGGGAATGACGGGCATCTTCGGAAACAGTGGGAAACCTGGTAATGTGGGACCTTTGTTCAAGGGACCGGAGCAGGGTAGAAGCTGTCCTTTCCGAAAGGGTCTACACGCGGCAGCTCACTGCTGTTTCCATGTGTTCTGCTCTGCCCCTTAGCTGGCTGGCCTCCGCACGTGCATGTGTTTCCTGCTCCCTGCCTGCTCTGTGCATTCCACGTTTGGTGCCCGGCCTGATTCCCTGGAGGGGCTTGTGGTCTGGGAAGGGTGTCAGGCCCTCCGAGGGCCACAGGTGTCTCATTCACTTGTGTGACTATGAGAATGTCACTTCCCCTATCCGGGCCACAGAACAGCCCCCTTCAGACCTGAGCAAGCGGCCGAGGCAACGTGTCCTTATAAAGGAAAATGTGGGGGAGTCTGGAATACGGCTTCACTGGCCCATCCTGTGGGGGTGGAGGCCTGGGGGCGCAGGGGAGGCCTCCCTGGAGGAGGCAGCCTGCTGGCAGTGATGGAGGACAAAGACGCTGGGGGGCGAAGTGTCTGCTTCCGGGCAAGGACTGGCTCTCAGGACCGCCCAGAAGCGTACCTGCCGGACAATTTCTACAGCAGAGCACGTATACAGGGACCTCACACTTATTAAGTGCCTGCTCTTTGCAGTTTCGGGTGCATCTGAAGGTAACCATGAGTCTTGTGAATGCTTCCCTCCACACCAGTAGAGCACAGAGGTCGACCAGTAGACTCTGGAGCAGGACCGTTGGGTATAAATCATGGCTCTACCCCTTCCTGGCTGAGTGGCTTGGTTAAGGGAGTTAATTCTTCGGGGCTCGTTTTCTGAACTGAAGAATGAGATAACTTAGCAAAAGGGTTGTCGGAAATAAGGATTCAGGGGATTCAAACAGAACTATCAAGGAGCCTGATGCTTAGCAAGTGCTCAGTAAATGTTAACTGTTACTGTTGTTGCTCCCTCTTAAGAGGAGGCAACTGAAACAGAGAGATGAGGTCACCTGCTCAAGGTCGCACAGGTAGGGAGGGAGAGAGTTGTGACTTGAAGCCAGGTGCATGTCAGGCTAGACAGAAGGCCAGCTGGAGAGGGGACCAGCTGAGTGGAGAGCCACTATGCTTGGAAAAGAGTCTCAGCCAAGGTGCCAGTGTCTCTGGTGGGTTCCCACCACGCAGAGTTGGGGATCAGGTCCTCATGGGGCACACAGCTGTGGAGGGTGCGGGCAAGGCAAAGCCAAACGCGGCTCAAGTCCTGGTGTTGCCACTGCTGAGCGGTGTGGCTTCTCTGAGCCCCAGTTTCTTCCTGTGCGAAGTGAGAGCAGTTCCACCTTCCCGCTATCAGGATTACAGACATCGCTTGGAAAAGGCTCTTTCCTCCCACACCTTCTACCCACTCCCGCCTGCCCGAAGAGGAGGAAGCAGCTTGCCCGGCCCTCCGGGAGGTGGGCCCAGGCGGGGCGGGACAAGGTGACCAGGAGGGTTTAATTACAGGCCAAAAAGCAGAAGCACCAGGGTCTCCTAAGTTCTGGAGAACGCAGTTCCCCCCACTTCCTCTCCACCTGCCCATCGCTGCCTGAGCCTGCCCGCCCGGATCCACAGCTATTCAGGAAGCATGAAAACGGCTGAGCACCTCGCCAGGACCGGGTAGGTCTGGGGACCCTAGACTCTGGGACCACAGGCAAGAAAACGGCAGTCGGGCATGGCGGGTGCGGGCTTCGGCCCCAAGCTCTGCCATTCCCTGGCCGTGTGACTTTGGGTAAATCTCCACCCCTCCGGACCTCGGTTTCCCCATCTGTGAATGAGAGTCGTGATAACGACTCTCATTGTAAGAACTGACCGAGAAAACGCACGCACAGCGCTTGCCATCACGCGCAGCTCGGAGTAAGCACGCACAGCAAGCAGGTGCTCTTTGCACAGCAAGGAGATGCATCATGGATCGTGCATCTCCCACAGGCCTTGGCCTTCAGCGTGACTCACAGTGGGCTTTACTTCCCTTGCCGTTTATATTATTCGCTGTTACTTTAACAGCTGCCATGTTCCGAATACTCCTTACACAGTAGGAGGAGGTTTAGTCCTAAATTGAGATGCCCTCCGGGGCTAGAAAGGCCACAGTTCGTCTTCTCTAACTGCCAGTGGGTCCGTGGTGCTGCCCAGCTTGTAGCAGTTCCCGGGTTCGTCTACTCTCCCAGCCTCCCGGACCGCTATTTTCTACCCTGTCCTTCTTCTTCAGGCCTGCCCTGCACGGCCTCGTCCAGTACGCTCTCCATCCGTGCGGACCTTGCTTTCCTGCTACCCTGAGCAAACAGAAGCAGTCACACCACAGCTGACACCCGCTGCATGCAGACACCATTCTAGACGCCTGCGGCGTATCAGGGACACCAAGGAGCCACTCGCTGCCCCGGTGGCACGGAGCTCCAGTGACAGATCACAGCCGATGCAGTACTTACTGCGTTCCAGACACAGAGTGGCCCTCTGAGGTCCTACCTCACGGCACCATTTTACAGACATGAGTCCCGTTGTTTATGCAAATGAGAAAACGGAGGCCCGGAGGGATTAGAAACCTTGACCAAGGTCACACGGACCGTGAGTAGTGAGGCGAGGATTTGGACCCAGGCAGTCTGGAGGCCACGCCCTTAATCATTGCTCCTTTCCGTGTCAGAGGAACTGAGATGTACGTGCCCACACTTTGCCCGTCCATTCACGGTCATCTGAGCCCGTGTCCTCTGCCTTCCCATCTGCTACATGGGATGACCACCCTGCTCTTTTCTGAGACCCGCCCTCAGATTTTGTGCTGTCGATCATACCCCCCTGCCCCCACCTGTGAGCCTCCCTTTGTCCACGCCCCCTCTTGATTGGCAGACCTGCTAGAGTCTCTCCCATCCATGTCCCGTCCCCACCATCGGCCACGGCACCATTTGTGTGCCCCTTTATTGCAAAAACGAGTCAGAAGAGCTGTCGGGACTCGGGTCTCACATTCTTCTCCTTCCAGTCTCTCCTGGGCCCACTCTAGTTGGGTTTTGGCCCAAGGTGCCACCAAGCTACCCTTGGGCCGTCTCCAGGGACCTCCTCCACATGGCAAAACCCAATGGTCATTCCTCAGCCCTCGGCCTTGTTGACCCATCAGCAGCACCTGACCTATGTGGTCGCCCCCCTCTTCTTGGAACATTTTACTTGCTTGGTTTCCCAGACACCACATCACCTTGGCTTCTCCGCCTCCTTCTCGCCTCCCACCTGTTCACCCTGGAGTGCGAAGGCTCAGTCCTTGAGTCTCTGTCCTCCCCGCTTAACACACTGTCCTGAGGGGTCGGCTCCTGCCCCCTGGCTTCAAGGGTCATCTATAAATCAATGACTTCGTATCTCATTTATTTCCCGTCTCTGGAAACGACGCCTCGGTGTTGCAGTTGCTCGGGCATCAAACCCCATGGTCATCCTCCACTCCCTCCTCCTCCTCGCTCCCCCAGCCAATCAGACGGCCAGTTGTAGTGGTTCTTCCAGCAGAATGTACCCAGAACCCTAACCTCTTTTGACTACACCTCGGCCGTCATCTTTAATGTGGGCTGGATGAGGGCGGGGACTCTTGTCCGTTTCATTCATTCCTGTTTCTCCAATGGCGAGCACACAGTCGTTGCTTGCTGAATATTTTTTTTTTAATTTTAAACATTTATTTATTTTTAAGAGACAGAGAGAGACAGAGCATGAGCGGGGGAGGGGCAGAGAGAGGAGGAGACACAGAATCCGAAACGGGCTCCAGGCTCTGAGCTGTCAGCACAGAGCCTGACGCGGGGCTCGGACTCACACACCGAGAGATCATGACCTGGGCCGAAGTCGGACGCTTACCCAGGCGCCCCTGAATATTTTTGAATGAATAAATTTAAGGACAGCAGAGTAGAAAAGTTCCTGAGTGGCCAACGGATCCACTCTCCTGCCCCTCCAAACTATAGAGGAGATCTTGAGGCCCGTGGAGAAGGGATCACACAACAGGCCAGCAAGACTGTGAATTCAAGTACAATAGTATGTCTCTCTCCCCATGTTTTTTTTCCTCTTTCTTATTCTCTCTCCTCTGCGCTTCTCTCTCCGAGGCTTTTTCATTCCCCGGGGCCGGGCACCCTCACCAAACCGGAATGGTGGACACAGGCAGCCCAGACATTCACCCTCACCTCCCCAGAAACTGCACAGAAACTGGGCGGCTCCCCCAACAACTCCAGTGGGAATAGCCCTAGGGCAGGCTCTGACTGGTTCGGCGCGGGTGGTGGGGCTTTGGGGGTAGCCACGGGGGAAGGGTGCCGCCGAGCCCTGTGGCTAAGGGGTGGAGCCTGTGAGCAATCGAAGGGTTTTGTGGATCAGGGGCCTTGGGCAGACAGCCAACCCCTCGTCCTCCTGAAAGACGTCCCCCCAATTTCCTTGTGTGCAGGTGGAGGGTCTGGCACTTGGGGCTCCGCAAGGCCCTTGTCCCACTGCAGGCTGCCTGGGTCGCCTTCTCTCAGCCTGTCCCAACCAGCTGTGGCCAGCTGCTAACCCAGCTCCTCCTGTGCGGTTCCCCGGCCCTTGCTGCTGCGGGTCTGACGCACCGCTGGCTCGTGTCCTCGCTGCTTTACCCTCCGGGACCCTCGGCCACAGTGGCCACTGTCTGCGGCCTCCTGGTCTTCCTGGTCCTGGGCTTGGTGCCCCCCGCGCGCTGCCTGTTTGCACTCAGCGTCCCCACCCTGAGCACGGAGCAGGGCCGCCGCCTGCTCCTGTCCTGGAGCACCGCCACCCTGGCCGTCGCCGTGGTGCCCAACGTCTTGGCCAACGTGGGCGCGGCCGGGCAGGTGCTGAGATGTGTCACAGAGGGCTCCCTGGAAAGCCTGCTCAACACCACTCACCGGCTGCACACAGCGTCCGGGGCTCTGGGCCCCGCTGGCCAAGCAGGCGGCCGGGGCTTGACCCTCCAGGCCCAGGGCAATGGCTCTGTATTCCTGCTTCACATGCTCAGGGTCACTCAGCAGGTGCTGGAGGACTTCTCTGGCCTGGAGTCCCTGGTCCGGGCGGCCGTGCTGGGGACCCAGCAGGTGGTCGCGGGGCTCTTTGTGCTGGGCCTCCTCGTGGACTCCGGCTGGTACCTCCACCGCTACCTGACGGACCTGCGGTTTGACAATATCTACGCCACACGACAACTGGCTTTGCAGCTGGCCGAGGCCCAGGCCACACACCTGGTGGCCTCCCCACCAGCCTGGCTGCTCTGGGCCGCCCGGCCGAGGCTGTCCCAGGGGGAGCTGCTGAGCTGTCTCCTGAGGCTGGGACTGCTCACCCTGCCCCTGATGGCCACAGCTGTGATGGTGGCTACAGACCACGTGGCCTTTCTCCTGGCTCAGGCAGCCGTGGACTGGGCGCAGAAACTGCCTGCCGTGCCCACCACGCTCACGGTCAAGTATGATGTAAGTAGGGCGATGGGAAGAGAGGACTAGAGTCCTCTAGGAAGCCCCCTCGGAAGGGCTAGGGTGTGTTAACCATTTGATCTGCGACTGAATTTTATTTGCCTTCGAGTCCCAGCCCTTGGAGAAGCTACGGGAACCTGGGGCATTCACAGGCTCCTGTAATTCCCACCACAGCCTGATGCACTGGGTTCCATTTTCACCCCGAGGACAGGAGAGGACACAGATACCTAGAGGCTTTAAAATAATTCTATGCCCAAGGTCACTCTTTTCTTACGTGGCAGCAAGTCCTAGTCTCTTTTTCCTCACTTGGACAAAGTGGATCAGTCCCCCTCACCCCACAAGGTTATTGTGAGTCTTAACAAGTGGTAGTTTGTAAAAGTACCCAGGCGCTCCAGGCCACACAGGAGGGGGTTGACAAATAGCGGCTATCATTAAAAGCTGACGACTGTATATATTGAATGATCTAGGCCAGGAGCCCGCCAACTATGGCCCACGGGCCAAACTCTGCTGGCTTCCTGTTTTTGTAAATTAAGTTTTATTGGAACATAACCGTGCCATTTGTTTACGTGTTTGCTGTGGCTTTTCGACAAAGTTGATAATTGAATCAAGGACTGTATGATCTGTGTATGATCTAAAATAGTTACCATTTTAATAGTAACATATAAAATATTTAACCATTGGATATATTTATTATCCGATCAAGATTTGTGGTTTTCAATCTTTTGCCAAAAATCTTTTTTTTTTTTTTTTTTAATGATGAGATCTCACACAAAACTCCACTGCATAAAACCAAAGTTCAGACTCTGAGTGAATAATATTAATGGCTAATATTTATTAAGTACTTATTATATCCTAAGAAAGTGCTTTCTCAAACTGCATGAAATCAATGTAATCAACTTGGGAGGTTATGGCCACTTTTTTTTTAAATGAAATCAAATAGACTAGAAATTTATGAGAGTATATTTTAAAGGATAAGGTTGAGGTTTTGTTTTATGACATTTTTCTCTGATCACAATACAATCTGTGCTTGCAAGGTGCTCTGAAACGCGTTTCATATGGGAAGGGGGGGGTCACAGTAAAGAAATGTATCAGGCAAGGTCCCGAGGGTGGCACCTGAGTTACCTTATTTCATCAAATCCAAGATGTCATTGATTGCAAATCACATCATCATTTTTATGTGTCATTAGGAAAGAAAATGCTGCCAATCAAACCAAGACGCAATGCCTTCTTATCATTTAGAATTAAAAAATATATACTTATTTATTTTGAGAGAGAGGGAGAGTGGGGGTGGGGCAGAGAGAGACAGAATCCCAAGCTCGATCCCAAGAACCATGAGATCGTGACCTGAGCTGAAAAGAGTCGGATGCTTAACTGACTGAGCCACTCAGGCACCTCTTATCATTTAGAATTTTAATTGTATTCATATAAAATAGTTCACTTCTTATTTCACATAGACTTATCTTTTCTCAGGTATGGAAAAAAAGAAAAGCGGTGGATTCATTTTGTGACGTTTTCCTAAAACGTCCTTCCATTCAAGCCTGACTCCTCTGAATGGCTCTGCTTGAGTTCTCAGCGTCTGTGGGTTTTCACCTAATATTACTGGCCTCTGTGCCTTCGAGAGCTGGTGATGCCCCACTATCATTTCCAGCATTTTCCTCCGCCCACTCTGCAAGCTTTCTTGCTGGCACCCTCTGGCCCTCTCACAAAGCGTGAAATGGCACAACTGCGGAACGGGGTTACAAGTCCCATTGCTTGAAAGACACATCTTGATCTCAGAGAGGTTAAAATGTGGGGGGAGAAATGAATCCCCAAACCGACAAAATGTGATAGCTCACTGTTCCTGGCCGAGAAGTTGGCCCTGGGCAGACCAGGATCCAACCCAAGAAGTCTGGCTCCAAAGGTCAGATGGTTAACCTCTGACCTCCCTGCCTCCCCGTGCTGTGCTCCAACATACCCCAAGGGAATTGTAGAGCTTAGGAATAGGCTCAGGGTGTTGGCACTCCCCTTGGCTGGGACTGATCCCCGGGCTGGCCACATGTAACACTAGGGGACCTTAGATTTCCCATCTTTTGTCTTTTTTTTTTTTTTTTTTAGTGTTTATTTGTTTATTTTTTAAAGACAGAGCATGAGTGGGGGAAGGGCAGAGAGAGAGCGAGACACAGAATCCGAAGCAGGCTCCAGGCTAGGAGCCCTCAGCACAGAGCCCGATGCGGGGCTCGAACCCACGAACCGGGAGATCATGACCTGAGCCGAAGCGGACGCCCAACTGTCTGAGTCACCCGGGCGCCCCAGGTTTCCCATCTTTTCAGCAAGGCTCGTTCTGGGCTCAAGCTCATAGGATTGCCCATATTTGATGAAAAAGACGTCTAAAATATTCGCTAGAGGGCTTAGCAAAGAGTAAATGACCAAAGCTCCCGTTTGTTTTCCTTAAAGTATTCTGCTCAGAAAGTAATAATGAAAACAGCATTTGTACGGTGCTTTTTGTTTGTCGAAAAGCCTGCCTCAGACTCCCCATCTCATCTGGCCGTCCTCCACCCCCAGGAGGCTGCCTTACTTAGTTCTGCGCCCATTTTGCAGATGAGGACAAGCCTGCACGAGTGGCGGGAGACAGGGGATGGCTGGAGCGTCGGTTGACTTGGCCTTTTTCTCCTCTTTCGAGGCCACGTACACGGTCCTGGGTTTCGTCCCCTTTCTCTTCAACCAGCCGCCTCCGGAGAGCCCCTTCCTCTCTGCTCACAGGTCCTTCCAGTGGGAGCTCCGCCTCACCTCCCAGGGCTGCCGGCTGCTGCCCGCGCAGCGCCCCCAGGCGGCCGCCCCCCTGGCTGCCGGCGCCCTGCAGCTGGCGGCCTGCGCCACCGTCCTGCTGGAGACCTACGCCCGGCGCCTGCGGCACACCGTCGCCGCTTCCTTCTTCTCGGCCCAGGAGGCCAGG